ATGTCCTGTTTTTAGGTGAACGGTGGCAGGGCAGGGGACTTTTCTTGTGAGTTTAATGAGCTGAGAAAAGGGTGAAGTCTGGGACATTGCTGACACTATTCATTCAGCACAGAGGGTTGCCAAGTCCCTGGTGTTAAATTGGGGAACTCTTGTATTTTAGCTTTGTGCCTAGTAATATACAAATTAAAGTTATGACATAGAAATGAGTTTAAATCATTAAATTCAGATGCACTTCTTCTGAATTGCACCTTGATATCAATTCAGCAGTGGCAACTGTGGGGGAAAAATTACTTTCTTCCTTTCTGAGTTCATGGCTTTGTGTTTTATGAGAAAAGGAAGACCTGAAGAAGTGTTTAAGTCTGAGTGTTTTTATGCTTAGGTTTTTGTATTTGAAATGTGTGGTGCTAGGGATTGAACCCAGAGCCTCATGAATGCTAGGCAAGCGTTCTACCACTGAGCTACATTCCCTCACCTTTAACATTTAACCTATCAAAAATATTATAATTTGGAAGAAACAATTTTAAAATTGTTAATGGGATATTCTACTTTTTTTTTTTTCCTGCAGTGCTGAGGATCGAATCCAGTGCCTCACACATGCTAGGCAGGTGCTCTGCTGCTGAGCCACAGCCCCAATCCTATTTTACTTTTTTATTGTCTTTGAAATCTTGCATGTATTTTATACTTACAACACTTCACATTTCAGATTGTGGTCATGTTCTAGTTTCAATAGCCACAAGTAGTTAGTGCCTATTGGACAGCATAGGAGAAATTGGGGTCTCACAGGACTATATGTCAATCAATTCAATATTTAACCTGTAGGAAGTAAGATTTTTTTTGCTCAAAGGCATTTTGAAAGATCTTTTGACATTCCGGGAAACCAAAAGATCAGATCAAGAACCCCCACCTGAACCTATTGTTTTAGGTAGCCTGTAGTTAGCCCCATGACTCTGATAGAAATGAGTTTGGGTCAGAGAACTAAATGGAAATAAAATATCAGGATTCCAGCCTGAAAGAGCCAGTAGCAGTTCAAGGCTTAAAGCATTTCCAGAGACCAGAACCAGAGGTGGCCTGGACTGAGTAACCATGAAAACGCTCCATGTCAGAGCTGGGAGCATTTTCAACTTATTCCTAGCAGGAGTCAATCATTTCTAAGTTACAGTGGTTGCTGTATTTTCCATTTCTCCTTTTTCCCAATGGGGTCTTCATTGCAATTGCAGTTGTTCTGTTCTTGTTCTACCATTGTCCTCTGGAGTACTTGGTCATAATTCAGTGGACTGGGAGGAGCTGCATTCAGACCCAATAAAAACGGCTGAGCCACCCCAAAGATCCTGCACTTTCAAGCCCTGTGCCTAGTTGCCTCTCTTGGGAAGGAAATATCTGTACATTCTCTGTGAAGAGGTTGGGTGCATATTTGGTGGCCAGGGTCACATTTTGATTGTCATTTGCCCACCTAATCTTCCTTCACAGGATGTTAGGGTGTGGCCACCCAGGTGGGAACTCAAGTTCCCAGTTTTTCTTGCTTCTAGGAGTGACTCTTTGCCAATGTTCTCACCAGTGGAATGTGAACAGAAATGATGTGGGCGGCCTCCTCCCACTTGTTAAGATGAAACATTTGTCCCAGGACTTCTCTGATCATTTCCTGCTGGCTTGGGTGGTAACTAGAACAGCCTTGGAAGCCCTAAATATTAGTGACCAAAAGGTCATGAATATGTACTTTTATATGAATGAGACACAAACTTCTATTTTAATCAAGACATTGTATTTTGGGGTCTTTAAAAAAAAAAGTAACTTGAAGTCCTGAGAGCATGCTTCTGGTATTCCATGTGGGAAAATTTTCTTAGTTTATCCGTCGTTTCTGTACAGCACGTTTTCCAGTTGCTTTCATCAAAAGTGTGCTTGAGAGGTAAATATTTTGGGAGCTGAATTTCTTTGCATTTGACTGTATCCTTTGTGACCTATGAGATCTTTTTGTGACCTATGAGTGCTGTTGTGTGGATCTTTTCAACTACTGTTTTGGGCACTCAAACCTTTCAATTTGGAAACTTATATTCTTCATTTCCAGGAATAAGAATATGATTCCCTCTCCCTGCATCTTCTCTATTTTTAGTGGAACTGTTAATATTCAGATTTTGGATTTCCTTGCTTGGTACTCTAATTTCTTACATTTCCTCCCCTAGCTCCCATCTGTTTGTCTTTTTGATTTATTTTTTGGGAAATTCCTCACATCTATTTTTCTTCAACTGAGTTTTAATTTTGTTATTCTTTTTTCCCCCTGAATATTTCTTTAATATATATATATATTTTTAATGCTGGGGATTGAACCCACAGCCTCACACATGCTAGGCAGGTATTCTATCACTGAGCTGCATCACTAATGCTTTTTATTTTGAGTCAGGGTCTCACTAAGGTGCTGATGCTGTCCTGGACCTTTTAATTCTCCTGTCTCAGTCTCTGGAGCATCTGGGATTATAGGCATGCACCACTGTGCCCACCTTTTCTGCTGCTCATTTACCCTTTTTGCTGCCTCTAAAATCTTGTTGGTGTGGAAAACTCATCTTTAATGGGTTTATGCTTGAAAACAAAAACTATTTGTGCTTCCAACAGTTTCAGAAGGAAACCTGTTCAGTTTTTCCCTAGGGATTATTCGATTTCTGTTCATTTTTCTGTCAGCACTAACCACCATGATTGCTCTCCTGATCCCCCAAGGTCTGCCAACTACTCTTCCTATTTCCAGGGTTGCCCTTTCCTTGGCAACTTTGTTACACTGAAGCGGAATGAACTTTCTACAGAGTAAGTGCTATAATTTTTTCATCCTCCTTTAAACCCTTTAACTCCCTGTTGCCCTCTAAAGACTAAAACAGCAACTAACTTCTGTCTACTTTTTAATCCTCATCCCCCAACTCTCTCCCATTAGCTCCCTGGGCTCTAGCCATAGTTTTACCTCTGTTTCTCTTAACATTCAAATGTGGCATCTCAGTGTTTCCTACATATTGTTCCTTTATGTAAATTTGTTCCTTACTGTTTCCTCCAATCCTTCCATCCCTAAGTTTTTTTCAATTAACTTCTATCCTTTGTCTTTCAGGTCTCAACTTTAATTTTTCTTCTTCAGGGAAGTGTGTCATGTCACTCTAGACTAGGTAGGTCCTTTGTTGATGGTCTGGTGTGCAAGATACTTGCTATCTCTCCATGGAAAGGTTCTATCTCCTTATCTAATGATGTCAGTGTTCTAGGTAACACACGTTAGGAAATTCTGCATTATATTATTCATTACCCTTTAGTTATTGTTATTATGCATTTAGTTGCCTGTCTTAACCAGACTAAGTTCCCCAAAGGGTATATTTTACATACCATCGTACCCCTAGTGTTTAGTATACTGCCTTGCCCACCCATAATGACAGAGACTGTCCTTGAGCAACCTGTACCCTGGCTTCTAGCAGTGTGAGGCCATGTATCTAGGGTGACTATAGCCCTTTAAAAATGTCTGCCCAAGAAAGCTCAACACTGCTAGGAGAATTTACTGTTTCTTTCAGCCAAAACCTGGTGATAGGTCCCTGAGCCACTGATTAGAACAGTTACTTTTGAAAGCTGACAATTATAAATTCTCCTTCTTTCAGATGTAGATCTTCTACCACTTGGAACTGTCTTCCCAAAGACCCTTTGAAATGTGTGTACATTCAAGGAGATTGTTATTCTCACTCTGTGAGAATAAAAGCTATGAGAAGCATGTGTCTCCTGTAGACAAGCACCATAAAAAAACCCAGAACGCTTAGTCAGGTAGACCAACCTTCTTTGCATGTCTCAGTGTCTTTCCCTTAGCCCACCCAGCCCTTAAAAAGTCTCAAACTGCCAGTTGGGGTGTGCATACCTGTTGACTTGGGAGGCTGAGGCAAGAGGATTGCAAGCTGGAGGTCAGCTCCAGCAATTTGGTGAAAACTTGTCCCAAAATAAAACAGGTGAAGAGACAGTAGACTCAGTGGTAGTGAGGGCCCCTGGGTTCAATCCTTAGTAACTTAAGGAAAAAAAAAAAAAGTCTTGAACATTTTCTTTCAGTAAGGCTGGTTTCTGTTCAAGCTGGACATCACTTTTGCAACAATTATTACTAAATGAAACCTATCCTGTTTTAACTAGTGTTTGGCTTTTTAAAAAAATAATCAGACGTTACATTAAGTAGTCATTTAATTCGTTAACGAACAGGTTTTATATAGGTGTAATTTGCTGTGGGATGTGTTTCACTATATCACGGTTTCCTTTGAGGTCTTATCTCCGCTGAAAGAGTGCTTATGGTACTTTTACTTTCATAACATCTAACTATGCAAGATCATAATTATGTTCAAATTATTTGCGCTGCATTTTGAATTCAATTTGTCAAGACTACTGTGGGTACATATAGAAAGCATTTTGAAATATCATATCCTTAAATTTCAGTCCCCTATTTTATTTTTCAAAGAAATGTCTTTAAAAACTTAATGGTTTTACTATTTTCATTTCTGTGCCAACGACAGGAGTTCAGCTTAGTTCTGTCCCGAAGGGCGGGAGGGTGCTAGAACAGAAGAATCTGGCTCCACCTTGGCTGCGATTGCCTCCACTGCTTTTTCCCCCTGCCCTCCGTTTGAGCACTCTGCTATCTTGTCCTGACGTATTCCACTGTACCTCCAAAATCTTGCCAGTTAAACTATCCCTTTGGTACTTTCAGGAAGCCCAGAGCGCCGCCCGCAATCTGTGACTTTCAGCGTCAATTTGAGGTTTTACCTGAAACCCGCAGCAGCCACACCCCCAAAGGCCTGCCCCAATCGCAGTCCTCCGTCTCATACTGAGCCTGCGCAGAAACTGAGCTAGTCACGTGCGGATTCGGGCCTGAAGCCGCTGCCGCCATGTTGATTTTTGGCAGCGCGGGCAGGCGAAGGAAAAGGGCCCTCGGCCAGCCTCTTGGAGTGCTGGCCCCTGTGCGCAAGTGCGGAAGTGCGCTGGCCCAAGGGTGACCGGTTTCCGGCCGGTGGTGCCGCACCGGCTTCCCGCAGACGTGTAACAGACGGTGGGCCGCAGCCATGGCCGAGAGGAAATCTAACGGTGGCAGTGGCGGCGCCTCCACCTCCTCGTTGAGCACTAACTTACTCTTCTCCTCCTCGGCCACGGAGCTCAGCTTTAACGTGCCCTTCATCCCAGTCACCCAAGCCGTCGCGGCCCCGGCCTCCCTGCTCTTGCCCGGAGGTAGGAGGGGAGGGCTGTCCCGCGGGGTGGGCGTGTGCGGGGAGCCGGGCCGCCCGGCTATGAGGCTCGGACGCGAGGCTCTGCCTCTGCCGCTTCTCGATCCGGGCGCCTGCTGGGGCCAGCATTGCCAGCTTTAGAGGGCGGGGCCCAGGTGATGTGGCTGGCTGGTCGTCAAAGGAGCCGCCTGTCCGGGTTGTCTACAGTGCCCCGACACTCGTGCCCTGGCATTCCACTGATCCTCGGTGAACACCTACTGTGTGCTGAGTGCTGGCAGGGATGCAGATTATTAGTCGCCTTCTCCTAGGGTATGGTGAGGCATCCTCCTAGGAGACTTCAGGATATAGTAGGGTATCTCTCTTCTAGGAGATGGTAAGTTACCTCCAGGGTGGACGGTGTCCCTTTTCTGGAGTACAGAAGGCTCTTTTCTACTAGGAGACTCCAGAATTAACAACAAACTGTCCTACGAAAGACGTTGTCCTCTTCTAAAGTGTAGTGTTTGCAAACTGTAGACACAATGTATTCCTCATTTTTCAAGGTAGTGCATCAGTTCCTGTAAGAAGGGTTTTCTTGTCCTTTTAGGCCCCCACTCCTCTGTGCACCTCTAGCTTTTTGCTCATATCTGTAGTAATGTCTAGGGTGATTGCTTTTTGGTGATTATATAGCATAACCAAGGCCTAGTGTTGAGTAGTACAGGCTGTTTTCCAGTCCTGGCTCTGCCAGTAACTTGATGTGTGACCTCAGTCATGATACTTTACCTCTCTATGCTTCAATTTTCATATATGTTCAGTCTTATGGCATTGTCCTGAGAAGTGAATTAATTTCTATAAAACAGCATAGTACCTTGCACACATGTAAATGTGAACTGAACATGTTTGCCTCTTCATTTGGACTGAGGCTTGTTGAAATTTGCGGCTGTGACTTAATTACCTTTCTCCTTTATTTATTTTGATGCGTTAATTAATTACCTTTTTATTTCTAGAATCTTATTTGGTGTCTAGCACATAGGTCCTTTTTAAGTGCTGATTTTTTTTTTTCTAGTGAATAATTTATTACTGTTTGAAGGACTAAGGAAAATCTCATGGAGAAGTGGAGAACGACTTCAGCAGTACATTAAAGTTCTTCTTCTCTTGTGTTGTTTCTTCTTGGTGCTTGTCACTACCTGACATATATGCATATTTATTTTCCCCCACTAGAAACCTAAGCGCCATGAAAGCAGGGTCTTGGTTTTACTCATTAGCATATATATGCCCAGTGCCTGGAATGCAGTAGACAATGCAGCAGATACTTATTGAATGAATGGGAGGGTGGGCATCAGGAATATGTATGTCTCATTTAGGCAATGTGGTCAAAAGATTAGATGTTGCTGTCTTTGGTGAAGAACTAGCATGGCTGGAGCAGAGTGCTGTGGGAGGATCTAGGAGTAAATGAGGCCATGCTTGGGGTTTTTGTATAATCCTCTGCTCCATAAGTATTGTTTGGTTTGTGTCCATCTTCCTTGTTATACAGTATTTAGTTTGTGTGTGTCATTGTCAATTGTTGCTAGACATTGTCATTGTAAGTACAGAGTAATTACATCTGTCTTTAAAACTCTTTGTTTCTTGAAGACAGACCTTTTTTTTTTTAGATTTGTTTTTGCTGTATTGGGGTCCAAACCCAGGGCTTCCAGCATGCTAGGCAAGTGTTCTATCACTGAGCTATATCCTCAGTCCCTTTTATTTTATTTTGAAACAGTCTCACTTAAGTTGCCCAGGCTGGCCTCAAACTTGTTGTCCTCCTGCATCAACTTCCCAAGTAGCTGGAATTATCGGTGTATGCCATACTGTGTTTGGCTGAACTTTTTTTTTATGAGTGTGAGAACATGAATAGATTTTAGAACTAAAATTCCATAGCAAGTATTTTTCCACCTCTAAAAAATATTTCGTAGTTAGAGATTCTTTCAGAAAATATGTGGAGGTAAAGAAGAACCTGACTCCTTGGAAGCAACAGTTAATCATATCATTAAAAGAGGCACACAGGAATAATTTCATGCATTCACCAAATGGATTGAGCAGCTTCTCTTTGCCATGCTCTGTTTCATATGTCAGAGACACAGAAATGCAGATAGCTCTTCCTTCAATGACTGCACAGTACATATGTATACTCAAATGCCCACCTGGGTAAGCAGTTGTAACACAGGCTTAGAAAGCTAGAATAAGGGATGGATAGGCTGCTGTGAACACAGTGGGTCTCAGCTGGTGGAGTGGGAAGGGCATGTCCCTTAGGCCTCAGGGCCTCACGGGAGGTGATAGTTGAGCTGCCTATTGAAGGGTACATGGAAATGAGGGCATCTGCATAGGTGAGAAAACTTCCAGGCTTGGCAGGAGTCGGTGGTGGGTTGTGTGGGGCAGGGATGGACCTCTTCTATCTCCTGTTCTGTCCTCTAGCTCCCCGACCCAAGTAGGTCACTATGACTAGAGGGTTTGCAGGGGAGTGGCGCTTGGGGTCTGTGGGCTGTAAGTACTGTTTTAAGGAGTTTGAAGTTCATCCTGAGGGGTGTGGGGAACCTTTGAAGGATGTTAATAAGGCAATAAAATGAGAAGTGTGTTTCAGAAGGACTAAAGTTTTCTTAGATTGCATTGGAATAAGGCTAACTATACTAAGAATGGTCATTTGGGTGGCCATTGTACTTCAGATAGGAGCAAATGGCATTCTAGCCCAGGTGACTGACATTGGGTATGGAGAGCAGGGAACAGATGGGAGAGATTTTTAGTCTATAAAGTTTTGACTCACTGGTGGTCAGATTATTAGCTTTGTCAGTGCAGAGGTCTGTTCCTGTTCAGTTTGGGCTCTAAGACTAAGCTCTGTACCTGGCACATATGGGTGCTGTATAAATATTTATTGAAGAGCATCCAATTAAATGAAGGGTATTAGAGGAAGGGTCTGACAGACTCGAGGTTTTTGCTGAAATCTTGATGTTGTTGGTGAACTCCTGTTGAGGTTGTGAGAACCCGTGAAAGGACATGGGTGGGGCTAGGATTGTGGCTCAGTGGTAGAGCGCTTGCCTAGCAGGTATGAGGCACTGGGTTTGATTCTCAGTACCGCATATAAACAAATAAAATAAAGTCCATTGATAACTAAAAGAATATTTTTTTTAAAAAAGGACATGGGGTGGTCAATATAATAAATTTAATTTTTTTAAAAATATTTTTTAGTTGTCAGTGGGCCTTTATTTTGTTTATTTTTATGTGGTGCCGAGGATTGAACTCAGTGCCTTACACATGCTAGGCAAGCACTCTACCACTGAGCCACAACCCCAACCCCATAAATTTAGTTTTAAGCCTATTAAATTGAAGCATATGAAGTTGCATCTGTCAGAAATATTTAGGGAGTGATTAAAAAATAGCTTCTGGAACACATGGCAGTCTTGGTTTGAGACAGTTGGTAGAGTCCTGAGTATAGACTGCTCGTGAACATTGTGTCCTGAGGGCTAGAGTGTGGCTCAGTGGTGGGGCACTGGTCCAGTATGCATGAGGCCCTGGGTTCAATCCCAATGCTGCAGAAAAAACAAACAAAACCTCAGGGGAAGCTAGCAGAATGTTGTCACTTCATTTATGATTGATATTAATTAGAAAAATATTTCTTGGACCAGGTTAATTTCAAATTCTCTTAAAGGGTGAAAGATAGCACATAAGGCCCCCCGTCTCTTCCCATCACACACAGTTCATTGTTGAGGGACGAACTAAGAAATACAGAGAAATCCAAGTAAGGTTCACAGGAAGGTGAAGGTTAGGTGGAAACTGGAAATACATTAGAAAAGTAGAAAGAGAAAAGCAGACAGAGTCTTGAATAGGAAGGATTTTTTTTTTTTTTTTTTTTTTTTTGGATACAAAGAAACAAGTTTTAGGAGTCTTTTAAATAGTACCATGCAGGGCTGGGTTGTGGCTCAGTGTAACGAGGCCCTGGGTTCCATCCTCAGGACCACATAAAAATAAATAAATAAAACAACCATATTGTGTTCTAACTACGGTAAAAGTAAATATTAAGAAAAATAGTACCATGCTGATCATAATCCAAAAGATTCAATCTCTAATGCCATAATCTTGTGAGTCTTTTGGGATGATGGTCCAAACATGTATAGTGGAGTGTCTTGGTAGTTTGGTGTATGTGAAATCTAAGCGGAGCAGCCTAGGCACTCAAGGCAGAATCTCCTGTGAGCCCAGTGGTCTTCTCAGCAGACGTCAAGGAGGAGCACAAAGCTTGGCAAACCTCCAAGGACAGGGACCACTGTGTACTTGTGTGCTGGGAGAGAGGCCACCCTCTGAGGGACTCCATGCCTCCAGTAGTAGGAGATAAGAAGGATAAGACAGGAGAAAGAAAAGAGAAGGATGAAAGCTGCAAGCTCAGAGCTTGGGAATGTTCAGTGAGGAAGAGCAGGGTGGACTTTGTAGGTCATGTGGAGGGTATATGCTTTTATTTTATTCATGAGTTGGTAGCAGAACAAAAGAAAATCCTTTGATTTAATACCCACAGTGAAGATCAAGTTGGGCAAAGAGAGATGAGAACTTCCTTAGTTAGAAAAATGGCTTTCCTAGCTATCTGGTGTTCTGTAATGACTAATTATTTGGTTGTGACACTGTATGATGTTAGGGATGGAAATTAAGGTTGACATATTTTTCTTTGGGAATACACATAACATATGTTCATTTGTATAATAAGTGCTTTGTAAGTAAGAGCCCTGTTACACCCCTTCTTGTCCACAGAGTTAATGTGTACTTTAGTTTCTCTTCATGACTATAGAAATTAAGATGATGTGCATTTGGGTGATGGAATAACATTTGAGTCATATTTTACCAGGGAGAGAAAAAATTTATAATAATATGTAAAAGTTGTAGGTATAGCTGGGTGTGATGGCGCATGCCTGTAAACCCAGCAGCTTGGGAGGCTGAGACAGGAGGATTGTGAGTTTAAAGCTAGCCTCAGCAACTGTGAGGTGCTAAGCAACTCAGTGAGACCCTGTCTCTAAATAGGGGTGGGGATGTGGCTTAGGGCTTGAGTGCCCCTGAGTTCAATCCCTGGTACACCCCCCTCCCCCCAATAAAGTTGTAGGTATAGTTAATATTTCTGTTTTTAAAAGCATCTCTGTAAAAACATTTATATATTTATGAAATATTAACTGTTTACATTTATTTAAAAAGTATGAAAGAGTATATACCAAAATGTGATTGTCTCTGGGAGGTGGGCTTATCAATGAATTGTATATTTTCCTGCTTTTGATTTTTTCCTATGAATATTTTCTAGATTTTCATTTCAAAGAAAAAAAGGTTTTTTTACCTGTAAAGCAGAAATATGAGTTAGATTAACACGTAAGAGGTAGAATTGCTGGTTTTTCCTTACAGAATTATATCTACAGAATGTTAGAAAACTTTAAATCATTTGCTCTCCTGTTCTGTTTCAGAGGATTCCACAGATGTGGGTGAGGAGGACAGCTTCCTCGGTCAGACTTCTGTTCACACATCCACCCCACAGACATTTAGTTACTTCTCTCAGGTATCAAGCAGTAGTGATCCTTTTGGGAATATTGGACAGTCACCTTTAACAACTGCAGCAACATCGGTTGGACAATCTGCGTTCTCCAATTCCCCGACTGCTCTCCCTTTTACAACTGGATCCCAAGATGTGTTGAATGCATTTCCACCATCTGTATCGAAGCCTCCATATGGTGCTCCACCTTCCCCACAGATGGGAATGAATACTTACCTGCCTTCTCAGCCAAGTAGTCTCCCTCCTTCAAATTTTGGGAGCCCACCCCAAGGAACCCCCCAACAAGGGTACAATCCATATCGCCATACCCCTGTCAGCAGCAGGGCTAATCCATATATTGCACCACCACAGCTGCAACAGTGCCAAACACCAGGCCATCCCTCTCACCCTCCACCCTCTGGACCCCCTATGCAGATGTACCAGACGCCTCCAGGATCTTTGCCACCGGTATGTAGTTAGGTTTTGTGTCCTAATTATTCGCTCTTACTTTTTTTCCTCTCACCTTGGCCAATGTTTGAAAGAACTTTTGTGTGTTTTATAATTCAAATGAGAATGAGTTATGTTTTTTGTTTTTTATGTTTGTTTTCTTCCATAAGAGTAAATGGAATAGGATTTATTTGGTTTCAAATAGATAGAACTCCCACAAGACAGGGCACTGACAGCAAGTTTTTCATGAAAAAGAAAAATCCTTTAAAGCAATGGATATTGCACTTCAAACATCTGATAGAAATAAGTGCTTTGATTCACTGGCCACCTAAAAATATGTGAGTTGCTAATTTTAAAGACATCATTACTCTTACCAATTTAAATTGACCCTTTTTGCTAAAGTTTTATTTAAGTCACATGAACCAAAAGGCATTTGGATCCATGTGTGAAATTTACTCATTTGTACTCATTTGGCTGTAAGCCAACTTTTATTTTGGTATTGGGGATTGAACTCAGGGGCACTTGGCCACTAAGCCACATCCCCAGCCCTATTGTATTTTATTTAGAGACGGTCTCACTGAGTTGCTTAGTACCTCGTTACTGCTGAGGGTGGCTTTGAACTCTAAATCCTCCTGTCTCAGCCTCCTGAGCCGCTGGGATTATAGGCGTGCACCATTGCACCCAGCTGTAAGCCAACTTTGATACCATGCACATGCTGTATGGACACAACCACATATGTAGAAACCATAGGTAATACTCAGGAGTGCACAAGTACACATAAAACAGACAGTAAACAAAGATGTTGTAGTTGGGGGCTGGGAATATAGCTCAGTTGGTAGAGTGCTTGCCTTGCATGCACAAGGCTCTGGATTCAATCCCTAGCACCACAAAACAAACAAACAAACAAACAAAAGATGCTTGTAGTTGTTTAGCAGGTATTAGAGCTAAAACAACTATAAATGTTTATTAGACTCTATTAGATTCAACCCTTTAGAAATTAAAATAGAGCCTGTCACAGATTTTTACTTTTATGATTTAGAAATGGTGTAGGTCTGTACAGGTAGAAATATTAGGCACATAGTCTGTCAGCCATGGTGGATGCTGAAATCAAAGGTTCAAGTGGCCACTTGTCCTCCATGGGGGTCAGATTCACTTTTGTCATCACTACTGTTTATTTCAACTTTGTAAGTTACATGCTTTGAAGTTTATTTTACCTGTTTGCTGATGTAATAATTGATTTTAATGAGTTAGTGCAGGCCAATATTCACAGTTTTTAGGGTAAGATACTACTAATAAATATTACCTAGGAACACATGAGAGTTGAGGCAATTATTGTCTTAACAGAGTGCCAGCTTCTCATCTCCTAATTTACTATTTAATACAAATACTCAATTATAGGGACAAAAATTGATTTCTCCAGTAATTTATATTTACACGGAATTTGGATCCAGTCAGTTAAATTCTATCTGAAGGAGGGTAATGGAATAACATTTACCTTAGGTAAATTTTGTGAATTTTCTTTATGCTTTTTTCCCCCATGAATTGTTCATCTGACTTCCAGAGGAAGCTATATAAAATAAAAAGGGAGATGAAAAGAATTAAGCACCCAACCCAATGTGGGAGAGAATGACAATATGTCTCCTGGAAATATGCTTTTTTAGGGATTGAACTCAGGACCTAATGTATGCTAGGTAAACACTGTACTACTGAGGTACTTCCTACGCCCTGGAGATCTACTTTATTATTTAAATCATAATAGTATACAAATTCTTGATAATGTTGGGTTTCATCATACATTAGAAAGTAACCAAATTTCTGGTTTTTTTTTTTTTTTTTTTCACCAGACCTGGGAGTTGAACCCAGGGGCACTTAACCATTGAGCCACATCCCCAGCTTCCCCCACCACACACACACACATTTTTTTTTATTGGTGCATTATACTTTCATATTGATGGAATTTATTATTACATATTTATACATGCATACAATATGACAATATAATTTGACTAATATCACTCTTTACCACTTCCCTCCTTTCCCTCTACCCCTTATCCTTTCCTCTACTGATCTCCCTTTGATTTTTAGGAGATCAACCCCCACCTTTGTTTTCCTTTTTCCTCTCTAGCTTTTGCATATGAGTGAAAACACAGGACCCTTAACCTGAGTTGGACTTATTTTGCTTAACATGATGGTTTCCAGTTCCATCCATTTTCCTGCAAATGCCATAACTTCATTCTTTATGGCTAGATAAAACTCCATTGTGTATCTGTATCACATTTTCTTTATCCATTCATCGTTGATGAACAACTAGGCTGGTTCCATAGTTTGGCTATTGTGAATACTGAGAAGTGGTATAGCTGGGTCAGCTAGGAACACTTTTACACTGTTGATGAGACTATAAATTAGTACAACCACTGTGGAAGTCAGTATGGAGGCTCCTCAAAAGACTAGATGCTACACTGATTTCCATAGTGATTGTACTAATTTATAGTCTCATCAAGAGTGCAAAAGTGTTCCTTTCTCTCCACATCCTCTCTAGCATTATTATTTGTATTTTTATTTTTTTGGTACTAGGGATTGAACCCAGGGGAACTCTAACCACTGAGCCACATCCCCAGACCTTTTTATATTTTATTTAGAGACAGGTCTCGCTAAGTTGCTTAGAGCCTCACTAAGTTGTTGAGGCTGGCTTTGAACTCATGATCCTCCTGTCTTAGCAGCCTCTCAAGCTGCTGGGATTACAGATGTGCAACACCGTGCCCAGTTATTATTTGTATTCTTTTTTTTGTACCAGGGATTGAAGTCAGGGGCATTTGACCATTGAGCCGTATCCCCAGCCCTATTTTATATTTTATTTAGAGATAGAATCTCATGGAGCTGCTTAGCACATTGCTGTTGCTGAGGCCAACTTTGAACTCGAAATCCTACTGCCTCAGCCTCCTGAGCATGAGTGCTGCTGGGATTATAGGTGTGCGCCACTGCGCCCTGCTTCCTATTTGTATTCTTGCTGACAAGAATACAAATAATAATAATCCCATGTGGATACATATCCTTTAAAAAATAGTCTTTATTTTTGTGAACATATATTACTAAATTTTTTTCTAAAACATTTTTAATGGCTTTAGAGAATGCCAATATTTGAATGAATATAATGTACAACAAACATTTGGTGTACATCCTTGGTAAATTTTTGTAATTGTTATTACAAAAAGTATGTAGGATAATTATTACTAATGTCAATTTGAGTCTGAAGCATATTCAAAATAATTCTTTTGGACAAACACAACATTCTTTGTTTTCCCCTTTAGATTCCTCCTTCAGTGCAGTCACCAACACAGCAGCAGGTACTTGCTAGACCTGTGGGTCCCTCTGTGCCAGGGCCGCCACCTTTTGTACTTCAAAATCAATATGAACCTGTTCAACCCCACTGGTTTTACTGCAAGGAGGTAGAATATAAGCAACTATGGATGCCTTTCAGTGTGTTTGACTCTTCAAATCTTGAAGAAATTTATAATTCTGGTATGTACCTATCATGGATCTTTTGTTTCCAGGAAGAGAAGGAATGAGATGTGATACTAATGTAAATCACAAGTTATCTGAGCAAGGTATCTGAAGAACTGGTTTAGTAAATTGTTTAAAGGTGTTTTAAATCAGAGAAGTAGAGTAGGTCATATAATTCAAGTTTCAGTTTTCCTATTTTTCTTATTCATTTGTAGTTTTGAATAAAAGCATTTTCTGTGGAATTCTTATTCTGGAATATGGCTCTGTGAAAAAAGTGTTGCATGGTCAGATTGGTTTTGGAATTCTGCTTCTATATCCATCTTGAGAGATGATGCACAGGAACGCCTTAAGGCTCTGGGAAATATGTAGAAATATATTTCTTTGTTTATTACGTGATTATGGGATTTGAAATCATGTATTAACTCTGGAAACACTTTATGGAGCATTGCTGTTTATAAATATTTACTGCTTTGATTTAAAAAAAAAATTCATGTGTTATTTGTTTTATGATCACATTTTTAAAGTTTGCCCTGGCTATTTCTTTTCCACTTAAGAAGAGTCGTGATTTTAAACAGTACAGATTAGTCTTAAACTTCTTTTTTTTTTAAAAAAAAGTGAGCTCAGTTTTTAATCTTTAAGCATTGATTAGTTACTGCATTCTCATTAATCATTTTTAAATATGCCGCATAACTTTTAGGGAAAATTTGATCTTTGTTGTTTAGTCCAGCCAGATCCTGAGAGTGTGATCCTAGGTACAGATGGAGGGCGCTATGATGTTTACCTCTATGACCGAATGAGAAAAGCCGTGTACTGGGAGGAGGAGCCTGCTGAAGTGAGACGCTGTACTTGGTTTTACAAGGGGGACACAGATAGCAGATTTGTTCCCTATACAGAGGAGTTCAGTGAAAAACTAGAGGTATGAGTGCTTTATTCATATAATGCTTTTCATGCAAACCCTGCAAGCATTGGAACCTTATGTGACATCACTCACTGGAGTTGATTTTTATTTGCAAGGTAGCCTGTCTTGATGCTGTTTACAAAAGATGATTGCTTTTAGAGTGGTGCCAGCATTCATGATATGCTTATTGTAGCTTCCATGTCTAAAGTTAGATTTCTGTGTTTTTCAGGGGCACATCATAGATCTAATAAGCTGTTTATATCAGACCTTCAAAAGAACTTAAACGGGCCCAGTGACATGCCCGTAATCCCAACAGCTCGGGAGGCTGAGACAGGAGGATCGAGAGTTCAAAGCCAGCCTCAGCAATAATGAGGTGCTTAGCAACTCAGTGAGACCCTGTCTCCAAATAAAATACAAAATAGGGCTGGGGATGTGATTCAGTGGTTAAGTGCCCCTGAGTTGAATCCCCAGTACCAATAAATAAATAAATAAACAAATAAATAAATAAATAAATAGTCATTAAAAAAAAAAAACATAGGATGCAGGGATTTGATGTTGACAATAGATGCCAGGCATTGAGACATTTTTCATATTAATATTTAGTAAAGCTTGAAATTAAATTATCATTTGTGACAATAAATATGAAACAGAATAGAAAGAAATATCAGTAGACTTAACCATCTTGAAACTGGTGGTTATAGCTGGGTACGTATATGCGTGTCTGTAGTCTCAGAGACTTGGGAGGCTGAGGCAGAAGGATTGCAAGTTTGAGACTCTGTCTCATAGTAAAAAGTGTATAGTGCTCCTGGGTTCAGTCTCCAGTATGACAACAAAAGAAAATCCAAAAAAACTACTCGTTAAAATTTTTGTATGTAATTGTGTCAATTTATTATAATAATTCTACTTTATAAAGTAGAATTGTTGAGTGTTAAATATTTGAAAAGTTAAATGAATTTAGTTGCATACTTGGGAAGTTAGAACATTTTAGTTGATTTTTTTTTTTAATTTAGTAATTCTTCAAGCTTGTAGAAAACACCATGGGCCTCTAAAATGTTAATTGTATTTTGAATAATTTTAAGCAAGGGATAAGGCTTGTATTTTGTTTAGGAGCTGACTGTTCAAATCTCATTATAAAATTAATAATTTTTTTCCCTTGAGGAACATATAATAGAAATAAAAAATTTAACCATAATCTTATCACTTTTTCAATTATACTCTATTTAAAAAAAATGTTTTCGAGGGCTGGGATTGTGGCTCAGTGGTAGAGCGCTCACCTAGCACGGGCAGGACCCGGGTTCGATTCTCAGCCCCACATAAAAATAAAGGCATTGTGTTGTGTCCATCTATACCTAAAAAATAAAATGTTTTCTAGGGGCTGGGGTTGTGGCTCATTGGTTGAGTACTTGCCTACCATGTGTGAGGCACTGGGTTTGGTTCCTCAGCACCACATAAAAATGAATAAATAAAATAAAGGTGTTGTGTCCATCCACAACTTAAAAAAATTAAAAAGATACATCTACATTAAAAAAATGTTTTCTAGATTGTTCTTCACCTATCCGTGTACATATTTTTTTCTAACAATTATAGATTTTTTTTGTGTGTGTGGGTATCTAGCTTTTTTTTTTTTTTATATAGCAGGGATTGAACCCAGGGTCACTTAATCACTGAGCCACAACCTTTTTTATTTTATTTTTTAAAATTTTAGGCAGGGCCTTGCTAAGTTGCTGTGGCTGGCTTTGACCTTGTGACTCTTCTGCCTCAGCCTCCCTATTTGCTGGGATTACAGGAGTGCACCACTGTACCCAACCCTGCCCCTAAATTTTAGATGAAAGATCAAACTAGTAAAAGTAACTAAGACCAATTGAAAGTATTGCTTTTGTGATCTTACTCTCCAGAAAAGATGTACTATAAGTTGTGTATTATAAGTAAGTACTATAAGTTAATGTATTAAAAGGGAGTATGAAGTGAAGATAATTCTTAAGAGGGTGAACTTTTTCTTTCTTCCGTTTTTGTGGTCTATTTATTTATAAATAAATAGGTTAAAAATTAGAAAAAAATGAAAAGGTCAAAAGTACAGAATCCTGATGAAGAGGGATTGTTACTGAATGATTGCCCAGGACACAAAAAGAAAGACTTGTATTTTGACGTGATTCTCAAATAATCAATTACTAATTTTTTTTTTTTTTTTTTTTTTTTGCCATATGGGGGATTAAGCCCAGGGCTTCATGCATGTTAGGCAAGTGCTCTATGACTGAGCCCATTACTAAAAAAAAAAAAAAAAAAAACTCTAGCAATCTATACTTGTGAATTAGCAAAATTAAAAAACAGACATTATAGACTGGGTATATCAGGGGTTCCCCATTACTTCCTGTTAAATCTGTCTTCAAGAGGCCTTCAGACCTTTACAGAAAGCAGAATAATGTATCTGAAGGAGGAGAAAGAGTAAGAAAATGGTTGCACAGTCAAGATTTGGGAGTTGGAAAGTCTTGGATGGGAGTGAACCACCATTCTACTATTTGTTCCTAACTGGTTGTGTAATCTTTTTTTTGTAGTGGTAATGGGAATTGAACATAGGGGTACTTTACCACTGAGCTATATCCCCAACCCTTTATTTATCTATTTATCTATCTATTTATTTATTATTTTGTGACAGAGTGTCACTAAGTTGCTTAGGGTCTCATTAAGTTGCTGAGGCTGGCCTTGAACTTGGATCCTCCTGTCTCAGCCTCCTAAGTTGCTGAGATTGTAAGTGTGCACTACCACACTCACTTGGTTATATGATCTTATGTAACTGTGTGCAGTACTGCCTGTTATGTGTTGAATAGTGTTCCCTTCCCCTTTTGTCCCCAAATCATATGTTGAAGTTCTAACCACCAGTACCTCAGAACATGAGCTTAATTTGAAATAGTGTCACTGCAAATGTAATTAGTTAAGATGAGATCATACTTGAGTAGGGCAGACCTCTGATCAGTCTGGTGTCTTCATAAAAAGACAGCCATGTTAAGACAGAGGGGGGCATGCCACATGATTATGGAGGCTTAGATTGGAGATCATTGCAAGCCAGAAATGCCAAAGGTTGCAGGCAACCACCAGAAACTGAGAAGAGGCAAGGGGGATTTCTTTACTGGTTTCAGAGGGACCAGAGCCCTCCTAACACCTTGATTTTTGGACTGTTAGCCTCCAGAAATTTTGTTTTAAGCTGCCCAATTTGTGGTACTTTGTGTTTGAAACTTCAGAAACTAATTCACTGTCCAAAACCTTGGTTTTCCTTTCTACACAATGGGGACAATAATATTTAGAAATGATTGAGAGTAATTACTTAAATGAGGTAATTATATATAAAGTAATTAAAAAGTAGGGTTACAGTAAATCAGAGCTGCCATTGCTGTTATTTTTGTCACAATCCTGGTTTTCCTTGTGCCCCACATTCTTGATGTGATACAGATTTGTCATACTGGATTATATGTTTTTCACTTTATCGTAGGCAGAATATAAAAAAGCTGTAACCACAAATCAGTGGCACCGCAGATTAGAGTTTCCAAGTGGAGAGACCATTGTTATGCACAATCCAAAGGTAATGTTGCTTAAAGTGTGAGGTTCATTTTAATCATTACTTTGCTGAATGGGTGTGATTTTTCAGGGAAACTTTTTTATCCTGGGGGCCATAATGTGCTTATCTGCCCTTGATAATGGTTTGTTTTAATCTTTCAAGTAAAAAAAAAAAAATGTATGCTTTCTTTTTCTTTTCTTTTTAATTGTCTCCATAAACTTTTCTTGTTTTCAAAAATAATTGATTAGTAGTGTTTTCATACTTTGATTTACCACATTTAATTTCTCTGATTCCCAGGTCCTTGCCTGCAGTAATGTTATTCCACATGAAATTTTAGATGAAATAATTTATGCAAAGCATCTAGAACAGGGCTTGGCATATGGTAGCTTCTGAGAACATAGACTTTTTATTCATTTATTTTTAAAGAAAAATATAAAAGAAAAGTAAGTCATCCTAAACACTTTTTTAGTCCTTATTGATACCAGTGTAAATAAAAAATTCATATGTTCACAATAAATTTAAACAGTATAAAATAGTATCAAGTGAAAAATGAGAACCTCCTACTTTTTGTTTTTTTACATGAACACAGACTTACATAAAATTATCTGTATGTTCTTTTTTTTTTTTTTGAAAGAGAAATTTCTGTATGGCACAGGGCTGAATTTAATCAGTTGACTTAATGATAGATTTCTTCCTGAAAAGTGGTCAGTTTAAGTTTTTGTAGTTGAGACTGAATTCGTAAATTAATTGGGAATCTTGCCATTTAATACTGCAACTAGATTATAAGCTGTCCTTACTATGAGGCATACTTTCTATGTATTAAAATACATTGCTTAGCCTGCATTGGAAAAGAATGTGCCATTGAGCTTTGTCATAATCCTATTGTATCTTGAAGGTTATTGTTCAGTTCCAGCCTTCTTCAGTGCCCGACGAGTGGGGGACCACACAGGATGGACAGACAAGGCCCAGGGTTGTAAAACGTGGGATTGATGACAACCTTGATGAGATTCCTGATGGTGTGTATAGTTTGTTAGGAGTGGAGTCTATTTTAGTCATCTCTATTGGAACATCATTAGAAAGATAAAAGAAGAAATACTTATTAGGATTATCTGCTATAGCATGCAGAAATCAGCCAATTTCACACATATCTTTCTTATTTAATACTTCTATAGCTTTATTTTTAAATTTATAATTCTGGCACAGTGATGTACATCTGTAATCTCAGTGACTGAGGAAGACTGAGGCAGGAAGATTGCAAGTTTGAAGCCAACTTCAGCAAGACGCTCAGCAACTTAGTGAGACCCTTTCTCAAAAAAAAAAAAAAAAAAGGATTCAGGATATTACTCAGTAGTAAAGCACCCCAGTTTTAATCCCCAGTACCAAAAAAATTTTTAAAAATAAAAATAAATAGTTGGGCATGGTGACTCAGATCTGTAATCCCAGCGACTTAGGAGGCCAAGGAAGGAAGATTGGAAGATCACGAGTTCAAATAGGGAGACCTTGTCTTAAAATAAAAAGAGCTGGGAATGAAGCTCAGTGCTAACCCCTGGGTTCAATCCCCAGTACCAAGATAAATAAGTAAATAAATAAATTTGAAATTCTGTTGAATATTTGCACACCGCATAATATAGATTCTAAATATGTATTGTGAAGAATCACTTTGCTGATTGGAACTAAGATTTTGGGGTTGTGCTTTCATACATCACTGGTTATATACATCATGTTACTCTAGCATGGGGGTTGGCAAACTTTTAGGCTTTGCAGGTCATGTGGACTCTTGCCACCACTCAGCTTTGCCATTGTAGTGTGAAAGTGTTTCTAGAATGTATTTAGACAAATGGACATAGCTGTGTTCCAGGAAAACTTTATTTACAAAAACAGATAGTGGGCAAGATTTGGCCTGTAGACCGTAGTTTGCCAACCCCTGCCCTGGTGTATGTGCTTTGGTTTCCCCTAAGAAGAGTTGGTTTTATTTTGATAATTACACATATTTCATTTTTGTCTAATAAAATTATAAAGTAAATGGGTATTATTAAATCTGAGTGAAAAAAAGATTTGATTTGGAAATGTTCCTATAGTACTTGTGAATCAAGGTATAGAGTTCTGGGAAAGTTTTGAAAGTATTAATACTGTTTTTATGTAGTAGGATTGAAACCAGGGACTTGTGAATGCTAGGAGAGTGCTATACTGCTAAGCTATGTTGCCAGCCCCTTAAAGTTTCATATTGATAGTTCGCTTCTCAAGGTGGGGCTTAGTGTTCTGGGGAGGTGTATTTTATTTTTATTTTCTTTTGCTAGTGCTGGGATTGAATGCCGGGCCTTGTATGTACAAGCATATACTTTACCACTGAACTATACCCCCTGCCCTGAGGAATTCTGAAATGATCACAACATTATGGAGCCACCATGGGTACAAGACTGCTGGTTACCATATATTGATAGATAGCCTTTTGGAACAGGTAGTCTGCTTTCTCCCCATATCAGTCTAGTGTCCTGTTAACGTGCCAAGATGGATAAATTGCTCTGATTTGATAGAGGATAACAAGGCTTATTTACTTGGAAGAGTCATGAATTTCTTTGGCCAGTTTATGATGACAAAAGGGATATCAAGAATTTTGCTATTAAGAAAACCCAAACAGGGGCTGGGGCTGGGGCTGAGCGGTAGAGCGCTCGCCTAGCATATGCGAGTACCTGAGTTCGATCCTCAGCACCACATAAAAATAAAAAAACAAAATAAAGGTATTGTGTCCAACTACAACTAAAAGTAAATATTAGAAAAAAGAAAACCCAAACAATTCCCAGTTTTTATGTATGTATGTATATATTTTTATTTTTAAACAGGGGAAATGCCTCAGATTGACCATTTGGTATTCATGGTGCATGGTATTGGACCTGTGTGTGACTTGCGCTTTAGAAGCATTGTTGAATGTGGTAAGTGTTAGTCATAGTTTATTTCATATAATGATCTGAGAACTAATAGAAGAGCTTTTAAGTTTCATTTTTAGTTCCTGGCCACTTGCTAAAGAGTGGTAAATATTTATATGATCAGTGGGAAATACTAATTTGTACTTGATTTTCTCTTACCATATAAATAACTCATAGAATCCTGAGTTCTAAAGAATTAGAAGGGATCTTGGAAGTAATTTAGCCTTTCTGACGGGCAGCCTCTGACTGAGTACTTCCAGCAACTTCGAGCACCTGTGCACTGAACTGATTTATAGGGAGACAGTTGTGAAAAGTTGCTTAATGAACTCATAAATCTGCCTGGATGACTTAAAAAATTTTTTTGAAGGTTCATTTTTATATCTGTATAATAATAGTTTATATTTACTGAATACCTGATATGTGCCAAGTACCTTGTATGTAGTGTGTCATTTAACCCTCACAGATACAATGGTTGGGTATAGGTGCTATTATTGTTATCCCCCAGTGTTGGGTGGAGAACTTAAGGCCCAAGGGTAAGTTCAGTTCCTTTGTGTCATAGTCAGTAACAGGTATTGGCTCCAGGACCCCACAGCAGGTAGTTTTGATTCTAGTCTTTTGGTCTTAACCCATTGTGCCATGCTTCCCCCTAGTAGAGGCATTTAAACTAAGTTTTTTTTAGGCATTTATACATTCCTCTAAAACAATGAAAAGTTAAAAGAGCTTCCTAAAGGTTGGTTATTTTTTCCTAATTTTGTCATCATTTAAAAATATTTTATTTGTAAATGCTGACATTTGATATAATTGTTAACTAGCTTCAAAGGTAAGACAATTTAATCAATTTAATTTTATGTGTTTTTTTTTTGTTTGTTTGTTTGTTTGTTTCAAGTGGATGATTTTAGGGTGGTTTCTCTCAAATTGCTGCAGACACATTTCAAGAAATCTTTAGATGAGGGAAAAGTCAGCCGAGTGGAGTTCCTCCCAGTTCACTGGCACAGTGCCTTGGGTGGGGATGCAACGGGTGTTGACAGGTTTGTAGATTTTCATCTTATTTTTCAGATTAGTTAAACCTAGATTCAAAATTTAAACAATAATATGAAGTGGTTTATTATGACTTCAACAAATGTTTCTTTTTTTTTTTTTTTTTTTAAATTACATACTTCCTCTGACATGTGATTACTGGCTGGACCATTTATATACCATTTTTCTCTGTGTGTTTAAGTGAATCTAAGAAATTTAGCTGGTTTTGATAATCATTTTTGGACCTGGAGATTGAACCCATTCCTCAGGTGTGTTAAGCACATGCTCTACCACTGAGCTCTCTCACTGGCCCCTAAGATGATTTTTATGAAATACTAGTATATGGTGGTTTAGACAGGGTGCTGTCCTGTACATTTTAGGATGCTTAGCAGCATCCCTGGCTAAATAATGGTAGTGTGTCTTTCCCTCACCATGTGACAACCAAAAATATCTCCAGAAACTGCCATGTCCCTGGGGGGTAAAGTCACCTATGGTTGGGAACCTCTGATGTAGACTTATTGTTTCTCAATGGAGAATACTCTTGACAGTAGTGCAGTTCTTTGTGGCACAACTTGTAGACCACTTAGCGTCCCTTGTCTGAATGCTACTCAATGGTAGCAATGCTCACCAGGAACTGTGATAAATTCAAGAAACACCCCACTCAATTCTGAATATGCCCATTTGAGAGCCACAAATATAGGCTATATTAATGCTGGCACAGAGGTTAATAGCATCTGGATTTTAAATAAATGTTTAAAATAATGTTTTAGTGCACATGGTTTTAATAAAACCAATTGTACAAACAGCATTCTGTTAGTGTTAGATTTTATGAGGGCATTTTCTTTCTCAGTGGATGTTCATGAACTTCACTGATAATTAATTAATAATGTACTAATCAGTTAAACGTTTTTACTCTATTTTTTCAGAAATAAGAAATTAAAACTTTTAAAAACCCTTAGATTGAAGGTACTGACCTTTTTTTTGTTTTTAAACAGGAATATCAAGAAAATCACTTTGCCAAGTATTGGTCGTTTTCGTCACTTTACCAATGAGACCTTGCTAGATATTTTATTTTATAATAGCCCCACCTACTGTCAAACAATTGTGGAGAAAGTGGGAGTGGAAATAAATCGTCTCTATGCACTCTTCATGAGTCGGAATCCAGACTTCAAAGGAAGAGTCTCTGTTGCTGGTCACAGTTTAGGTAAAGCTGTTAAATACACACCTTATAAATGTGATCTTTAAGTTGTTAGTTCTTTTATTGTGGATAACATCCTTAGTATGGAACTCAGAATTATACATCTTAACTTTTATAAAGGGCAGAAATGAATGCTTTGAGTTTACAGTCTGCCTTTTTCTTTCACATGATTCATAGGTCTGCCATATATTTTAACTTATTCTGCTGTTCGGTAGAAGAAGAATGTTGATTATCAGATCTTAATTTACATGTAATTTTCGGAGGACTTCTGCCTAGGGACTTTGAAAGAAAGGAGAATTTGTTTAGTATTATAAAAACACCCAAAAAGTATATTATAAAGAAAAATACTTCTTTTTCTTAGGTTCTTTAATATTGTTTGATATCCTATCTAATCAAAAAGATTTGAATTTCTCCAAGTCTCCGGGACCTCCCGCTGTTGCTAATGGAGTTGTGAAGCAGCCCCATTTTCAGGACAAGCAGGTATGTCTGCACCTGACCCTGTTAGCATTAGGTTTAGAGCTGGAGCTGAAATGTTTTCTGAAACTTTTTATTTATCAAAAGGTTAAGAAGTATAATGGAGTCATGTGACTCATTTTAAACATTTCTCTTTTCCTTATGGATTGTAAGTGTAAATGTGAAAGTTATGGTTTTTAAAAATACATAGAAAATAGGAATGTGAGTGATTGATAAGTTTATGTATGTTTTGAAACATTCAAGCATTGGGTGGCAGACTACCTAAAATTTTGATTTGTCTATAGGGCAGAATTTTTAAAAGATTTTCTATAAATCAGAAGACATTTTATGGGAGTTTTTCTGAGCTTTGTAATGTTTCCTCCTTTTTTTTTTATTAAGATGCACGAAGAGTCAAAGCTGGCTTTGGATGATTCATGTGACCTTGATGTTGAAAATGAAGAAGTCCTAACTTTGCAAGAAACTCTGGAAGCACTTAGCCTCTCTGAATATGCTAATACTTTTGAGAAGGAAAAGATTGATATGGAATCTCTGGTACTGATGTTAATTGGATTCATTTTTTAAAAAATTATTTTTCCTATATGTAATATTGAAAACTAAGAATGATTTAGAATATTGCTTATGTCAAAATTTATTCCTGATGAGGCAGGAATAAATGTTTAATGTTTAAATGTTTAAAAAATTCAAAAGAGCAGGAATTATTAATGAATAGTACCTGTGAAAGCTTTTCTAAGTATGACACAAAATCCAGAAATCATAAAAGAAAAAGAAGTGCAGCGCAGTAGGTACCATAAGCTACATTGCAGGCTAATGATGGACGGGGAAACATAGGTGGAGCACACATTACAAATAGAGGACTTTTTTCCTTAGTATTCAAAGCTTCTGCAAAACTATTGGTAAGAAAGTAATAGTTCAGAAAAAGGATATAAAAGTGATTTGTAGACCAATGGCTTCTTACTGTATGAATACTCAGAAGAGAAATGCAAATTAAAAGTGCAGTTCTTTTTTTTTTTTTTAACTTCTGAGTTTGACAAAAATAGATTGGATAATATGCCAGGATAGGGAAAAGTAGGTACTATTATTTATTATTGGTGAGCATGTAAACTGGTACAGCCTCTATGGAGGTCAATTTGGCAACATCTTTTTTTTTTAAATAACTTTTTAATTTTTTTCTGTGGTGCTAAGGATTGAACCCAGTGCCTTACACATGCTAGGCAAGTGCTGTACCACTGAGCCACAACTCCAGCCCTACAACATCTTTTAATTAATTAATTAATTAATTAATTAATTAATTGTTTTTTGACATGGTCTCACTGTGTTGTCCAGGCTGGTATCCAACTCTTGGTTTCAAGTAATCCTTCCATCTCAGCCTCCCAAGTATTTGGGGTTACAGCCAAGCATGTGCCACTGCACCCAGCTCTGAAATAAACGCCTTTTAAAATACCCTTTTCCCTGGGAATTTTACTGCTAAACATATTTTCTTTTCTTCTTTTTGGATACCAGGGATTGAACTCAGGGACACTCAACCACTGAGCCACAACCCAGCCCTATTTTGTGTTGTATTTAGAGACAGAGTCTCACTTAGTTGCTTAGCACCTCACCTTTGCTAAGGCTGGCTTTGAATTTGTGATCCTCTTGTCTCAGCCTTCCGAGCTCCTGGGGTTACAGGTGCTCCACTGTGTCTGGCCAGAAATATGTTATATAGAGAAATATTCACATAAGAATATCTAGGAGGACCAAGCAACTCAGTGAGACCCGGTCTCTAAATAAAATACCAAAAGGGGGCTGGGGTTGTGGCTCAGTTGTAGAGTGCTTGCTAGCATGTGTGAGGCACTGGGTTCAATCCTCAGTACTATATAAAAATAAATAAATAAAAGTATCGTATCCATATAAAAAAATTAAAATAAAATAAAAAATAGGGCTGGGATGTGGCTCAGTGGTTGAATGCCCCTGAGTTCAATCCCCAGTACTTAAAAAAAAAAAAATCTGTGAGGACACGTGATGCAGAGCTATTGCTAATATAGTGAAAACTTAGAAACACCTTCCGTACCTACTAGTAGAAATTAGTCGATTGTCAGTGGGCATCAACGCAGCGGAGTGGCAAACCTGCATTGTGAATAGATGAATGAGGTGGTCATAGGTATACTGATCTCTTAGATACATCTGGTGAAACTTTATTCTTAAAGTTCAGTGCTGTGTGTGTATAAGATACATACATAAACATATAAATATACATGTAGATGCTATGTGCACATGAAATATCTCTGCAGGGGAGCGAATTATGAGCAGGTGTTGCTGAGAGGTGAGTCGGGTGGTTGAGGTAGGAATGGAGGGAAATGGCTATTGTGTGCTTGATTGTACTTTGGAATTTTGTACAACATGTACATATTTTCTATTAAAAATAATAGGGGGCTGGGGTTGTGGCTCAGTGGTAGAGCACTTGCCTGGCATGTGTGAGGCACTGGGTTCAGTTGTCAGCACCACATAAAAATAAATGAAATAAAAGTCCATCAACAACTAAAATAATAATAATAGGATGTTTTAGGTGGACAGGGATAAGATTATATAGCTTAAAATAATCTATTATTTAAAAACAAATTAACTTAAAAGTTGGCTCTTAGGTTGTTTTAGATGATGTCTTTTATAATTTTCACATTCTAATTTCAGTTCGTCTACCTCTAAAATGATTAATAATGTGCTTGTTTCTTTTTAAAGCTTATGTGTACAGTTGATGACCTGAAGGAAATGGGAATACCCCTTGGACCCAGGAAGAAGATAGCTAACTTTGTAAAACTTAAAGCAGCCAAATTGGTAACGTTCATTTCTACTTTCAATGTGTGACCAGCACATTTTGTTTTAGAAGTGTTTCGTACCCCTGTGGTTAGGCAAGTTTGTTTGCACCTATCTATAGCATGGTAATGGAGCTGATGGAAACCACACTTGAGTTTGTCAGAACTGGGTTTAAATCCAAATCAGGCCAACTGACCATCCTTGTTTTCCTGGGACCAAAGACTTCGCAGGCCAGAGGGTTTTGTTTTTAAACTGGTGAAGTACTGGTCAAATAGATGAGTTGGTTGCCCTGACTCCCAGTTCAGACACTTATTAACTGCACACTCATGAGACATTGGTTTAGTTTCTCTGATCTCTGATTTCCTTCTTTCTAAAGTGGGAGAGGTAGATAGGTTGGAGTGATCGAGAAATGATGTATGTGGAGGTCACACCTGCAGCAGCTTACTTGTTCTTTCTCCCCATCTAGAGAGGTGAGGAAGCATGTGCTGAAATCTCACTAAGTAACAACTACACAACAAATTTTACTGCACAACAAAGCAACAACTAAAAATCATTTTTAAAAAAGCAGCTAGGTGTGGTGGTGCATGCCTGTAATCCCAGCAACTAGGGAGGCTAAGGCATAAGGATCACAAGTTTGAGGCCAGCCTCTATAACTTAGTGAGGCTGTAAGCAAATTAGTGAGACCCTGTCTCAGAATAAAAAGAAATGGGGATGTGGCTCAGTGGTTAAGCATCTGCCCCCCCAGTACCAAAAAAACAAAAACAAAACAAAAAAACAACAACAAAAAAATCCTTGGAAAAACTTGTTTTAACTTATCAGCATATGGTCTCTGATGGTTCTGGCATCTTGGTTTCTGTTTTTACAATGCTGGGAATTGAATCCTGGGCCTCATACATGCTAGGAACGTGCTTTGCCACTGAACCACACTCCCAGCCCTGATCCTTTCCATTTGATCATCTCTGGTTCTCTTGTTTTGGGTACTTATTTGGAAGTTAACATATACCACTTCTTTATATGAAATATGATTAGAAATTGATTTTTTTATGATTAGCTTAAGGAATTGAGTCAGCATTTTACTAAACATCTAGGTCACGATGCTTGAATCTTGGGATTTGGAGATGAACCACAAGTGTGCAGTCCAGTTAGTCCAGTTAGGGTAAAGAGTTGACCACAAGTGACCACATACGAGGGTGCTGTTTGCACGTCCCGAAGCAGACCAAGGGTGGCAGTTCTGCTTGTGGAGAGGGGACTGTGGTTTGCTGAGCAAATGCTGGCGCTTGAGGAGAGGGAGTAGGAGTGAAATGGTCCCCCAGGAACAGGCCCGTGTTCCCCACAGCCGAAATGTCAGATGAGCTGGGAATGGAGAGGAGGGAAGGCTGCAGAGGCCCAAGCACCAGGTGGAAGTTTGGATTCTCTTTTATAAAGGAGTGGTTATCAGACATAGTTTTACAGCTGTGAAAGTCATGGTGCTGATTTGCTGGTTAATTCTGTGACAAGTTATGGTTTAGCACCAAATCTACTATTTAGTCTAAATTTTAGTTTTAACTTGCTTAGAAATTAAAAAAATTAAAAAATAAATGCCATAAACTATATTATAAAATAAAATAACCATGAGTTATTTATAATGAATGGAAATTTTAAGGTATTAACTCTTCTATTTTCTTAAATTACTATTTGCCTTCTTTTGCTGTTGACCAGGGCCTGTTGGTTTATAGAGAGTACTAAAAGCAAACAAAAATAAAAGTTGTAACAAATCTTAATATTGAGACAGGCCTGTTATCAGCTTGATTTTTTTCCCCTGTGAATTGAGCCACACTTTCCCTTTAGCAGCAGTAAATCCTTGCTTCAGGGTCTTCCTGGATGCCACTTGAGAACCTTGCCATGCTTAGGCCATTGGACAGTGTGGGAAATACCACAGGAAGAGTCCTCTTGGTTACCATGATCAGGTGTTGGAAGAGGATGAAGCTGGAGGCTGCTGGGAATTTGTAGAGTGGTTATTGGAATTGTTGTATTTGCTCAGAGATGATTGTGAGTGAGTGGAATTGTGATTTGGGATATAAACTCAGAGATGGAAAGGAAAGAAGCAACTCTTAAAACCTTCTGGAACAGAGCATACCATATTTGAGTTAAGTGTTAGGAAGGATTGTTCACTTGGCAGTTGAGGGGTGTCTTTCATCTTATTTTCTCTGTATGCTAAATCATTCTGTAGTTTGTCTCACCTGAGTCCCTGGCAATACTGTGGGCAGATCCCAAACTGAGATTGGGATCCTGTGTTGTGGTGTTGCTGTTTGTAGACTGGGTGCTGCATGCCCACAGCAGTGAAGCAGAGGCCTGTAAGCAAGGCAGAACCCAGAAGAGCTGTGTTTTAGGCCCTACGTCGTATCCTTAATTTTATTCTGTAAAAAAGGATAAGTGGAAAAGTATTCTGAAATACTTTAGAAATTTTGAATAATTTCTAGGAGCCTGTTTTATAAACTGCAGTTGCTTAGATATGTAAATTATGACATTATAAGGGTGTTTTGAAATGAATAAAAATCTATAACATGATCTTATTTTTTAAATTTAAGAGTAATTTCCTTTGGATGAACTATGAAGTGTTCTTGGCTGAGCTACATTGATTGTTCTATGTTGCTCACAGATAACAAAGTGCTGCCAGATAAGATAATATATGGTGTGTCCTGTTGATTTATTGTCACTGAAACAATGTGACCAAAATTAGCCAATTTTTTTTATAGTAAAGAGATCAAATATACATGGCCCATGTGCTGTTTTTCTTTGAAAATGGGTTTAGTGATTTTTCTTTTGAAAAGTAATAGTTTTTAGGGTTTGCAGTATTGTTAAGTCAAGTATTTATATGTTGATTCACTTAGTTTTAAACTTAATGCATAGAATTTTAGGGGAGCAAAATAGCTCTTGGCAACAGATCAGTTTATGATCTCTTGTGAGAACTCTCTTTAGCAATGTGTAATGTCAAGTTTTATGAGTATATTAGGTGGTAGTTCTGAGTGGGAAGCATATTTAAGCTGAAGAACTCTGAAAATATTCTTTTTGGATTTCATCTTTAAACTTGTGCCACCTCAGGGCTGGGGGTTGTGGCTCTGTGGTAGAGCGGTTGCCTAGCACGTGTGAGGCACTGGGTTCGATCCTCAGCACCACATAATAATAAATAATTAAATAAGTAAAGATATTGTGTCCATTTACAACTTAAAAAAACAAAAACAAACAAAAAAACTTGTGCTGCCTCAAAAGGGAAGAAATAAACTTTCCAAAATACTGATGATAGAATCATTTAAAATCTGGCTGAATTTTCATTTTCCTATTTTGTCTCTTGGATTAACCAGTTGGATTTATGATTTCTTAGTACTTTAATTAGCAGATTGACCAGTTTGGCCAAATATTTTGTTGAGTCAGTCTGTTCAGAAACTAATAAACATAGTTGCTTGGCATGGTGGCACATGCTTTATAATGCCTGTGACTCAGGAGGCTTTGCTGGGAAGAATGCAAGTTTGAGGCCAGCCTCAACAACTTAGTGAGGCCCTGAACAACTTAGCAAGTCTCTGTCTCAAATTAAAAATAAAAAGGACTGGGGATATAGCTCAGTGGTAAAGTACTTCTGGGTTCAGTCCCCAGTACCATACACAGACACACACACATACACACACTGAAAACACAGAGACCACCACACAGTCCTGTCCTCAGCCTGGGGAAAAATTTGTTGTATTTGCTCAACTTATGTTTTCTAGTGTTCACAATTCTTGCCTTGGGGAAAAATTCTTACAAAGATTGATCAAGTAGTTTATAATGCTGCATTTAACGTTATGCTTTCATATAGTTGAATCTCAAAAAAAACCCTGCGGCATAGATGAGTTGCCCAAGACAAGGTTTACATTCGCCCAACATTGCTGAATTCAGGATGCAGTTACCACCGGGCATGGCTTTTGTTTATGGAAATGCACAGATCTTGAAAGTTTTGTGCAGTAAGTTTTGGTGGTTGTATTCACTTGTGTAATCATGACCTGCAACAAAAACCCAACACATCTATTCATTATCCTTATGTTTCTTTCTAGCTAACTCCTCCACCCTCTCTATAACCACTGTCCTGATTTCTAGAAATTCATCTGAGTAGAATCAACAGCATGTACTGTTTTGTATTTGCCCTCTTATATTTAAAATAATGTTTTTGAGGACTGGATATATAGATCTTTGTAGAATAATTGCCTAGCCTGCACAAGGTGCTGAGTTTGATTTTCAGCACTGCAAATACATAAAATTGCAACTCTTTAAAAAATAATAATATTTTGAGATTCATCAAGATAGCCAGTATTTACCTGGATATGGTGGAGCATACATGTAATCCCAGCTACTTGGGAGGCTGAGACAGGAAGATCACAAGTTCTCTGCCAACCTGGACAATTTGGCAAAACTGTCTCAAAATAAGAAATAAAAGGGGCTGGAGTATAGTTCGGTGGTAGTGCCCATGGTTTCAATCCCGAGTACTAGTTGGGGGAGCCGATACTTATGTTTAATTTTAATTATTTAATTGCAAACTATTTTTTTCTTTTGTAATCTTTTTTTCTTAAGAATTTTAAAGTAATTTATAGATGCCATGGCATTTTTTCCCTAAATGGTTAGTTGTGTCCGAGAAGGACATTTCTCTCATGGCCCCAGTGCTGTTATTATGCCTATGTTACTCATCATTCCTTAATATTGAGATGGCATGTTTTGAATTGATAGCTGAGAACTGAACTTATCCTCAAGATTATGTTGTGAAGTATTTGTGTTTCATAGGAACAGAAAAAAGCAGCATCAGAAAAGAAGGCAATGATGGCTGCTTCGACAAAAGGACAAGATGAAAGTGTTCAGAAAGCTAAAGAAGTGGCTTCTGTCCCTTCAGAATCTAGTGAATCTAAGAGGAAGCTTCCAGTTGGTGCTTACGTTTCTTCTGTGCACATTGATTATGAGTCTTTTGAAGTTGGCACTGGCCAGGTGAGTTTACATTTTTTATGTTGGAATGAGCACATCTTTATCATTTGGATTGGTTGTACATTCTTTAAATATTTATATAACATTTATTTGGGGCTGTGTGGAGAAAACTGACTTTCTTTTACTATTTTATGCTTTTTATAATGTTCCCAGTAAAAGTTTGAACCTGTATAGTACAAGACATCTACTTTTGAAGTTAGCTTTATTTCAGCTTTTCTAACACTCAAAATTTTTCTATTTTTTGTACCAGAAATTGAACTGAGGGCCACTTTGTCACTGAGTTATATTCTCAGACCATTTTATTTTATTTTATTTTTTTAAGTTTTAAGACAGGGAGGAATATTGCTGAGGCTGGCCTCAAACTTGTGATTCTCCTGCTTTGGCTTCCTGAGTCACTGGGATTACAGGCGTGTGTCACTGTCCTGGCTTTACATTCATAATTTTATACCCTTAGTCTCATTATCACTAATCAGAAGTGGCTATGTTAGAAAACTATGTTTAGAATATACCTAAATTTCTGTGGGAGAAATTTGTTGTATTTGCTCAACTTATGTTTTCTAGTGTTCACAATTCTTGCCTTGGGGAAAAATTCTTATAAAAATTGATCAAGTAGTTTATAATGCTGCATTTAACGTTATGCTTTCATATAGTTGTATCTCAGTGGCTTAGAAATATTAAATTCCTTTTAGACAGCATTGCTTTCAATGTATTTACAGTTGAATATCACAAGTGAGTTCATGAAGGTACAAGATGGAACTTGGTTTTTACACTACCTCATTTAAAATTTCAAGCCCATTTCATTCTTACTGGTTGCATTTTTAAATATGTCTTTTTTGGGGCTGGGGATGTGGCTCAAGTGGTAGCGCGCTAGCCTGGCATGCGTGCGGCCCAGGTTCGATCCTCAGCACCACATACAAAGATGTTGTGTCTGCCAAGAACTAAGAAAAATAAATATTAAAAATTCTGTCTCTCTCTCTCAAAAAAAAAAGTTAAATATGTCTTTTTCAAACATGACAAATGTGATCAGACCTTAGCAAATAAAGGGCAAAATGTTTTCTCACCTTCCTTTGAAAGCTGAAAGTATAGGGGTCTATGAGCTACTAGGATACTCAGTACACACCTCTCTGGGAGGGAACCTTGTCCATGAAACCAGAGTCATCTCCTTATAGTGTTAGGACTGTAAAAGAAAAGGAATCTATCCTGCTAGGTCCAGTTAGGAAAATTCCAAAGAGTGATTTTGGTTTACCTGGTTTGAGTCCATTCTGGACCAGCTTGTAGCCTGGGTATGGCCGCAGATTGACACAGACCAGTTCATATGCCACCTCTGTGGTTGGAGCACTGAGGCAGGTAGGCAAGATCTGTTACCAAAGAGTTGTTGGGCAGTACAAATAGCAGCCACAGAGTACATTATTCATTGCCAGAAAGTCACAGAAACCAGCTAAATAACAGGACATTTGAAAAAGAAAATAAACCCTCCAGCTGGGATTACAGGCATGTGTCACTGTCCTGGCTTTACTCTAACCTCATCAGCTACAGCTAAATACCATCAACTATTTGAGCAAGGCCTTCGGAATTTTGTTTGGATATATATTTACATATATATTTTAACCAAAATGAGAAAATGCTATATGTAGTATTTTATTAAATCATCCTGTTGTCTTCAAATAGTGTATTATAAATATATTCCCATGTAAGTAAATATTCCTCCAGAACTTCATTTTTAATGACTGTTGGGATTTTTAATCACTGGGAAGATAATTATGCGTTCTGTCGTTTCCTTATTACTTACTGGATTTATTAGTTTCCAAGGGCTCCTATAACAAAGTACACATCCTGGGTGGCTTTGGACATGGAAATTTCTTCTCTCAACAGTTCTGGAGGCCAAGAGTCTGAGACAAGGTGTCGGCAGTGCCATGCGTCCTCTGAAACCCGTATAGAACTCCTTCCTTGTGTCTTTCTAGCTCCTGGTGGTTCGTGGGCTGTCTTCAGCTGTCCTTGGCTTATAGACCATCTCTCTAGTCCCCCATTTTTATGTCATTTCTGTCTCTTCCCTGGTCTCGAACTTGAGATCCTTTTTTGTGTGTAGGACTCTTGTGTCCAAATTTTCCCTTTTTATAACAACACTGGTCATACTGGACTAGGGCCTATCATAATGATCTCATTTTAACTTGATTACCTTTTTAAAGATTCTATTTAAAGATATTGGGGGTTAGGACTTTATATCTTTTTTTTGAGAGGACACAAGTTCAACCTATAACATTGCACCATTTAGGCAATTTCCAATTTTTATTCTATTTTTTCTTTGTATGCAGTACTGGGGATTGTACCCAGGGGTGCTGTACCACTTGGCTGCATCTGTAAACCCCTTTTATGTTTTAATTCAAGACAGTCTCCTTAAGTTGTTGAGGCTGGCCTTGAACTTGAGATCCTCCCACCTCAGCTTCCTGAGTCTCTGGGATTATAGGCTTGTGCTACTGTACCTGGCCGTTTTTCGCTCTTAAACAATTCAGTGATAAACATTTTAAAATCAACTTTCTGTGTATATTCTTCATTATTTTCTTTCAGTTAAGTTGGGAGAAGCAGAGTAGTTGGGCCAAAAGATGTACACGTGAAAGTTCTGATGGTTTCTGTACTTCTGAAAGGTACCGATTTGCCTCCGACTGGCAGTTTATAAGGTTGATGCTCTCATCTGTCCCTTGCCAGTACTGGCATAATTGTTTCTCTCTCTCTCTATCTCTCTCTCTCTCTCTCTCCCTCTCTCCCTGTCTCTCTCTCTCTCTCTCTCTCTCTCTTGCTTGCTGTGCCAGGGATGGAACTCAGGACCTTTCTCACCCATGCTCAGCAAGTGTTCTCCCACTGAGCTACACCACCAGCCCTCATTCTTCTGTAAAACTACGTAGTAGCTTCACTTTAATAACTTACTTCTAAATAAATGAGTTATGTGAAAGTAAATTTTTTACCTTTTTTTTAGCATTTTGTTTGTTTCTGATAAACTGATAGGAATAATGGTATTGCATTACATTTTTTGTTTTTGAGTACTTGAGAGGTTAGATATTTTCTGTATGTTTTGAACTGCTGGTTTTTACCTGTTTTCTATTGGATTTTTTTTACTGATATTTAATAAATCTGTATATATTGATGCTGTTTGCCCCTTATCATTTATGTTGTAAATATTTTTTCAGTTTATGTAATTTCTTTTAAGTCCCCCCCTGCCTTTTTATGGGAGAGCCAAACTATTGAATTTGCAAACCTCGGGTTATGAAGTCCAGACTGTTGAGGGGCTCTCCGGGCATTTTAGAGGGCTTGGATTTGGAGTTAGAAGTGCTGGGCTAAGTCTGCTTTCTGCATTCACTGGCTGTGTGCCCCTGGGTGAGTTACACACCTCTTAAGCCTCAGTCTCTTCATCTGAGAAGTGAGCATGGTGAGTCTTGCGATACCTTCTTCTCCTGGTGGACCTTTGTTGCACACTCGGGTTATGCCATTCATTGTTCTTTGTAGGAGTTCCAGACACTAAAATGAAAAAGACATTGTCCTTCCACTGAGGAAAATGAAAGAGTTGTACACTTGTTACTTTTTCTTGAGAGAACAATTGTGTGCAAGCTACCCAAAGAGAATTCTTTCAGGATAAGTCATTTTTCTGACTGAAGGAACTTGCCTTAAATAGAAAGTGATACCTCCGGGGTTGCTGGTGATGAGTTCTGCTCCCTCACATGTTGAAGTATAATATTAGAGAATCACACCAAGGCAAGCACATAAAGCTAAAAGGGGTAACACAGACTTCTGGGAGGGAGAAGGGGGCCAAAGCTAGTATCCTGGTATCCCAAGAAGCGAGGATGTTTTGCCTTTTTATATGTCCTAGGATTCCGTTCTTTTCCTGCTCTCTTCCCCTTATCTCTTTCCTAGATGCTGGGTGTTGTGGCCTAAAGGTGGGAAACGGGGAAGGGGGAAGGGCAGGATGGAGCGGCCCAGCACACATTAATTAATAACTTTATAACTCCCTGTAGGGAGGGGCAATTCCTGGGACAGGTTGGAACAGGGGCAGGTTATCTTTATAGGGTGGTGGAAGGGTTCTGAAGGCATTAACATTTTAATTCCTCCATTCTCTGGATCCAACCCTTGCCTGTCTGGCTTCAAAAGGATGGAAATTATAATAAAGGTAGTCCTCATGAAGAAGTTAACTTGCCCAAGGTCACACAGTGTGTTAGTTTTTTGTCACTTGACAAAATACCTGAGAAAAACAACAACAGAACAAAGATTTATTTTGACTCATGGTTTCAGGGGTCAAAGAGAGAGAATCAAGGCTAGGGCCAAGATAATACCTTACAGGGTATGCCCCCAGTGATCCACTTCTTTCAATGTGGCTCACCCTCCTACAGTTTCCACCATCTTCCAGTAATGCCATTAGATAATAAATCTGTCAGTGGACTAATCTACTGAAGAGGTCAGAGCCCTCATGATCCAATCACTTCCCCCAAAGCCTCACCTTGGAACACTGCTTCACTAGGACCAAACCTTCAACACATGAGCACATTCCAGACCCAAATAACACAGTGAATAAAGAGTGGATTCAGACCCAGCAGTGTGACTCCAGATTACTACAGTTTTAACCACATATATAACCATAATTGATGCAGTCATGCTTATATACTGTGTTTCTTATACTGGAGAGTAAATAAATTTGTAGCTAGAGGATGTGATAGACTGAAGATTTTAGAGAGAATTTTTTAGTCTTCTATGGCAGCAGCAGCTATCCATAGAAGAGTATCTTCTGTGTTTAAATTAAGTACTACTCTAAGAACACTTGAAAATTCCAAAGAATTTTGTCTTTTGGGATATTGGAATGATCTTTTTTATTGCTACTTGCTTTCTTCTAGGTTTCTGTTATTTACAGCTCATTAGACTTCGAGCCAGAGATTTTCTTTGCTTTGGGATCTCCAGTTGGTATGTTTCTTACCATCCGAGGAGTGGATAAGATAGATGAAAACTACAGGCTTCCTACTTGTAAAGGATTCTTCAATATTTATCATCCTGTGAGTGAACTGAATTTTTTTTTTTTTTTTTCTTTTGAAAAAGATGAAGAGCCTGTCCTCTTTACCTTAAAGGTTCTCAGGTTCTTATTTCTTGGGAGTTAATATTGATCTTGATTTTGTAGGACTTGAGTCTTCCTTCCTAAGAGATATAGTCTGTTATTTTCTAATAACAGAAATCCTGTTCAAAGAAATAATTCTATTGCTTTGCTTGCAAATTAGTTTTACCTATAGACTATAGAAAAACTTCTTAAAATTGCCAGTATTTGAATAAGGAGTAGGAAAAAGTCAATCTCTGATTTGCCAGTTATCATTTTCTTACCCAACTAAAAGCATACAATTCAAAACAGCTTTTCAATTCTTCCATTTGTAGCTTGATCCAGTGGCATATAGATTAGAACCTATGATTGTTCCAGATTTGGATCTAAAAGCAGTCCTCATCCCACATCACAAAGGCAGAAAAAGACTTCATTTGGGTAAGAAACAAGTGTAAAAACTTGTCATTCCTGATATTTTATAATCTATATTATTAGTATTATTTTGTAATCTAATATTACTAATCTAATATTACTAATATTAGTAATATTACTATATTACTAATATTACTAATATTAGTATTATGAAAATTGTAACACTAAATTCTTTCTACTTAGTTCAGAAAAAGGAAGAATTTGAAGGAGGTATAAAGTTTTAAATGAATTCCTTCTTTTTGATGATATTGAAAATGGGGCAAGTTGGTAATAAAGCAATAAGAAATAATTAAATTTTGATAATTTGGTTACAGTTTTTGAAACTGGGAAGAAGGGTAACACTTAATGACCAAATAATAAAGAAATGAAATTGATGTTGTCTAAGTCAAGAAAAGTGTTGTTTTCTTGTAATTAGACAAACTTTTCCTATTAAAAAAAATTCCCCTGGCAGGGCTGGGGAGTAGCTCAGTGGTACAGCACATGCTTAGCTTTATTGAGGCCCTGGGTTCCATCCCTAGCAAAACACACACACACACCCACACACACACCCACACACACACATCATTTAGCCTAATAGATAGATAATTTCTGTTAATTATGGGTATTACTTATCCCTAGACTTAAAAGATTGGGTGGAAGGGTTGTGAGCATGGACAAGAAAAGGAAAAGTGATCATGTCTTTTTATTTAAACATGTTTTTTGCTGGGTTTGGTGGTGTATGCCTGTAATTCCAGTGACTCAGGAGGCGGAGGTAGGAGGATCATAAGTTCAAAGCCAGCCTCAGCAGTTTAGTGAGGAGGCATTTGGCAACTCAGCAAGACCCTGTCTCTCTATAAAAAAAAAGGGGGGGGGGGGCTTGGGATATGGCTCAGTGATTTAAGTACCCCTTGGTTCAATCCCTAGTGCTAGTGCTCCCCCCCTCCAAAAAAAAAAAAAAAAAAAAAGGGAAAAAAAAAAAAAAAAGTTTTTTTCTAGCTACTTGGGAGGCTGAGGCAGGAGGATTGCAAGTTTGAGGCCAGCTTGGGCAGCTTGGCAAGACCTTGTTTCAAAATAAAAAATAAATGAGTATCTATCTCTCTCAGTAGTAGATGCCCCCCTACTCCATTCAATTCCCAGTGTCCCCCCGCCCACACCCAAAAAGGGGGATGTGTTTTGTTTGTTTGGCTAGTGGCATGATTTTTAAAAAAATATTTAACTCTTTGGAAGTTAAAATGAGAAATTTGATAACTTAAAGACCTTGAATTCAAATATGATTATTATATAAGAGGAGAAATAATGAAGGAGCAGAGGTTTTTTTCATTTCTAAAGTAGAGGTTTAAATTGTAGTTATTAGAATCTTATATTCTCAAAACCATTTCACTGTTACAGATTAGAAAAGCAGTGATATTTTTAGTCTCTTGGGTCCATTTTTAAAAAAACTTCCAGTAAAAAGTACTTATGAATGTTGCTTATATTTTTGTAGTATTTAAACTTCTTTCTATGGATAGGGGAAATTTATATTCTTGGGCTGGATCAAGTTTAGTCGTGAAAAAAAATGACAGAATAAGTCAAACGTGGTGGCACATACCTATAATCCTTGTGGCTCTGGAGGCTGAGGCAGGAAGATTGCAAGTTCACAGCCAGCCCCAGCAACTTGATGAAGCCCTAAGCAACTTAGTGAGAGCCTGTCTCAAAGTAAAAAATAAAAAGGGATGGGGATGGGGATGTGGCTCAGTGGTTAAGCATCCCTGGGTTCAATCCCTGGTACCAAAAAATAAAAATAAAAAATGACAGAATAAGATTCATCATGTTATTTTATCATGCTAAGCATTCTGGCTGAATCATTCTGTATATTTGACTTTAAGAGAGGAAGAAGAGCTTCTCAATGGAATATTAATTTCTGTGATAATGGAATTTTACCCAGTGACTGATTAACTTGATGTGTTTTCTTGATCTCTTTAGAGTTGAAAGAAAGTCTCTCTCGAATGGGATCTGATTTGAAGCAGGGTTTTATTAGCTCTCTGAAAAGTGCTTGGCAGACACTTAATGAGTTTGCCCGTGCTCATACCTCTTCAACTCAGTTGCAAGAAGAATTGGAGAAAGTTGCCCATCAAATCAAAGAGGAAGAAGAAAAGCAAGTAGTTGAAGGTAAATTTGACATTTGAGGCATTTTCCAGTACAAATGTTATTTATGAACCATAACACTTGTGCATTACTTAATTATGCTTTTATTTTCTAGTCTTATTTTGTGAAATTGTGTAGATCCTTCCTATAAAGGAGAATTTGTCATAGTAAACTATACCATCAAGTGCATTATTTCAACATCATTCTTTGTTAACTAGGTTTTTAACTGATAGTTACTGAACTTTTAAATATTTTGTTGAGTTTCTTAAGGCCAGAATGGAATATCAGAGTTGAGAAGTGTTTGTATTTCAGGCATTTTAAAGACTCAAAAGAAGTTATCTTCCTAATACTGTTGTTTAACTGTGTCCTTATAGACTTCATATACAATGTCAGGTCATTGTGCCATGATTTGTTTGACTTTCAGATTCTAATTCTATTTCCTTTCTCTCTACAATGCTTTCTCACCCCTTATCTTCACAACTTCTGTCAGCTGTTGGCTCTTTCTCCTCTCTCTTCCCCTGTTGTTTGGAGGAATGGGGAGTGAGCCTGGTAGCTCCCCAGTTGCTACGTGTGTCAAGCCTTATACTCATTGAGCCAGAAAGTCAGCTAAAGTCAAAGGATAATGATTAAGTGATTGACTTTGATATTGAAATGGTTTAAATTCTAGCAGAAAAGATTGTTGAAAGTCCAGATTTTTCCAAGGATGAAGACTACTTAGGAAAAGTTGGAATGTTAAACGGAGGCCGCCGAATTGATTACGTTCTTCAAGAAAAGCCAATAGAGAGTTTTAATGAATATCTTTTCGCTCTTCAGAGTCATTTGTGCTATTGGTAAGTGTTCTTCACTTTGATAACATTTGAGAGGACTTTAGGTGCCATCACATAACGACAGTTTAGTTTTAGTGAGATTCTTTTACTGATTTCAGTATTTGTTATGGTCTGTTAATTCTAACTCATATATCTCAAATCATAACTTTTCTCCTTTAATTTTTAAAAAAATTCAGAATAGAGGTTTGCAATATGCTTCTAACTTTTTATCTTTCTAATCTGCATATTTGAGTTATCCACAAGGTGGCGGTATGTTATCTGCCTTTACCCAGAGGCCTTTGGTGCTTGCACACTGTTTTTGTAGGAGTCTTTCGTAGTGGGAGTTGTAGGGATTTAGGAAAGCCATTTCTTCTGTATGATCTTATCACCAAGAGCTTGACTGTTCTGAAGCTGGTCTCTGTGCAGTTTTTAAGGATAGCTGTGAGATCACATTGCCTTGCCATCATTTGCCCTTGTTAGAGTTGAATAGAACAACTAAACTGCATTTACCACCTTTGTGCACAGAGTTAATTCTACTAATAGTCTTTTAAATAAATATGCTTTTCTTTTTGGTAGGGAATCCGAAGATACTGCTCTCCTACTACTTAAAGAAATTTATCGAACAATGAACATTAGTCCAGAGCAGCCCCAGCATTGATCGGACTTCTATTTTACTGTGAGTTTATCTCTTTTATACATAAAAAGTTTGAATGTTTGCATTCTGAAGCTTTTTTTATGGAGCTGATATTGACTGGGATTTTTCTCTTTGCTCTTTTCTGTTTCCTCTGAAAAATTTTTTTTTTTTTTTGTTCGTTTATTTTGTTTAAATTCAGAATAGCAAGGAAGGGGATTAGTTTGCAGTATGTATTTCTGATTTATTATTATCTTCTTTCCAAAACTACACAGAATTTGAGTCTTTTAGTTTTTTTTTTTTGTTTGTTTTGTCTTTTTTTTTAAAAAAAACAGATCCTAGAAATGTCAGTTGAGAATTCCTTTGGGTATAGGTCTCATTACCCATTTACAACACTTTAAACAAGTAGAGTTTATTTTCCTTCAGTGACAGGAGTGGTTCCTTTGTTGATTGATGCCACCAGACACCTGTACAGTGTCTTCCTGCATCAGTGTCGGCTCTTACTGCCTTGTGGTTATAACATGCTCCCATCGTTCCAGACATGCCTGTATCTGGCATGCAGAGCAGCGTCTACCTTGCCTATCCCTTTTAAATTAGAAAAGCAAAAGCGTGGCCAAATACTCTCTCACACCTATAGACTAGGCCTATGGCCACCCTAACAAAGGTGATGCTGTAAGTGTTCCCAGTCTTTAGAGAAGGAATAGAGAAGAGGGTTAAGTCTGTGATGAGTGTGCCAGTCTGTGTTTTTGTCATGCTCTATGTTCCTAACTGTCCTCCTGAGACACTGGATACCTGTTTTTCATCACTAGATTATGCATTACTTTTAAAAAGAAATTTTAAAGCCTTTGAAAGAATGGAATAAAAAGTACTGATCTCTACATTGCCAAAATCAAAAGTAGCTCTTAGCACATTTTGGTTTTCTGATAGTAAATGATAAATGAAGATTCCCTTTAGCCTCCACTTTCTCATTTTAGAGAGGTAACCATTTTCACTGGGGTTCCCTTAGAGAAATTTTTGTGCATATATTCAAGTAAATATTCATGCATTTTTAAAACAAAGGGATCTCATTCAATATATTGTCTTGAACTTGGCTGTTTTCCGTCAGCCAGGCAGCTCACTTGGTATTCCTATCGTGTGTGTGAGCCAGTTTCCTGTGAATGAACATTTAGATAATTTTCAGTGTTTTTTAATGCTATATATTAGGCAGTCTTAGTCAACAGAATAGTTTGGTCTAAACAACTACTTTGTAATTGTATTGTATATAATTTTATCAGTTCCTACCATTTCTGATATTGTAATATTTCAGAATAGTTTCATCTAAAAAACAATTACATAATCACATCATATATCATTTTATTAATTCCCACCATTTCTGATATTATAATATTAAAATAAACTGAATGTAATGTCAAAAGCTTCTCATAGTACAGATTTTCAATTATAAAATAGTTATTCACTTGATGGACAAATATTTATTCAGTACCTACTGTGTGCCAGTCACCCATTTTTATGCTGAGGATAAGTAATCAACAAGATTGCATCCTCACCTTTAAGGGATTTACCTTCTACTGGGAGAAGATTGACAGTAAACCTGATCCCTAAAATGCACAACTTCAAATATTGGTAGGTTTGGTGGAGAAGATTAAATTGGAAATGATAGAGAGCAGCCGGGGTGTTTTAGTCAAGCTTTTTTGCTGCTGTGATAAAGGACCCTACCAGCGCAAATGTAGAGGAGAAAATGTTTATTTAGGAGTGCATGGTTTCAGAGTTCTTAGTCCATAAAAGGCAGGCTCCATTCCTCAAGGCTCTCACTGTAAGGCAGAACATTATGGTAGAAGAGTGTGGCAGAGGGAAGCAGCTCACATGATGATCAGGAAGCAAAAAGAGACTCCACTCTGCAGATACAAAATATACACCCCATAGCCATGCCCCCAATTAACCACTTCCTCCAGTCACACCCCACCAGGCTCTGTCCACCACTCAGTTAATTTCGTCAGGGAATCAATTCATTAGTTAGGTTAAGGCTATAGCCCAATCATTCCTCCTCCAAATCTTGCATTGTCTCACACGCGAGCTTCTGGGGGACACTACATCTAAACCATAACATGGGGCTTATTTCCAGGAAATGCCTGGCTGAATTTGATGACATTTGGATTAAAATTTGAGTGTTGGGTGAGAAGAAGGTGGACATATGGGGGGATGGGGGAAGAACAAGCAGAAGGAAGAGCAGCTGCAGAAGTCATGAGAGGGGAGCAGACCTGCTGTGGTTCAGGGTCAGAGAGCAGACAGTGTAGCTGGAGGTGTGAGTGAAGGCAGAGTGGGGGTGAGGGAGTCAGAGAGATAGGTGGGTTTGATGATGAAGAACCTGGTTCTAAATGGGGTGAAAACATTGCAGGCTTTTGAGAAGAGGAGTGACATGATTTGGTTTCTCTAGAAAGCTTGTGTGGGTGCTGGGTGGAGGGTGTCCTATTAGTGGGTCAAGGAAAGAGCAGGGAGGATAGTTAAAAAGTCAGTGGTGACTGACTAGGGCACAGGGTAGCATTGATGAGAGGTGATAAATCTGGGTCTGTTTTGAAGGAAGTTCATGACTTACTGGTGAATTCACTGTGAGGGAAAGAATAATTCAGGGTGACTCTTAGGATTTTGATGTGAGCAGTTGGGTGGTCAGTGTGCATTTCCCTGGCAAAGCTGTTGTGGGAACAGATGTTGTCGGGGTGTGGGGCATGGGGAATGAGTAGTTCTGTTTGTCCAGTCAGTAGTTAATGATGTTGGCCTGAAGCTCAGCTCAAGGTAACTTTGGAGTATATGCTCATGGGCATATACTTGCCATTTGAAGCTGCAGACGGTGAGTTCACCTAGAGTGTTGAAGGTGGAGAAGGAGGAGCCAGTGAAGTGAAGAAAACCCAAGGGCTGTATCTCAGGGAGGCTCAGGGAAGATTGCTTCAGGCAGTGTCAGATGCTGCTGAGAGGTTAGGCAAGAAGAGGACTTGGATTCAGGAAGATACGGGACATCATCAGTGACTTTGATCAAAGCCGTTTTAATGTCTTGGCAGGAGTCACAGAGGTTGAGAAGAGGTGGGGGATTAGTGAGGAAAGAGCTTTGCTGTAAACAGTAATGGAAGTAAGGCAGAGGGGGGCAGTGGATGGTAGTAAGTTGTGCTTATTTTCCAGTAGGAATAATTCAGAACCAAGGGGAAAATTGATAATATAAGAGTGCGATGGGATACTTGATGGAGGAAATATTGGGAAAGGAGTGCAATGGGAGGCATGGGGCCAGGGTAAGGTGGAGAGTTGAGCCTTAGGAAAGGAGCAGGGATGCATCCCCTGCCCTGGAGGAGGGCATAGAGTTCAGACACTGATTGCAGGTGGGAGGAGGAGGGTCCTGGGGTTACTTCAGTTTTCGCTCTGAAGTGTGTAGAGGGTTTGAGAGGTTGAGGAGAGAGGAACAGGTGATATTACCTCAGTGTGGGAAAAGGAATTTACCAGCCTGGGGTAATAGAATTGTATTGCAGGCCGAAATCCCGTTTGGTATTTTGGTCATATATTTGAAGTCAGTACAGTTGGCACAATTGCCTGGCTTTTCTTTGGTGATGTTCTGCTCCTTGGGTGAAGTTCACAGTAAGCAGGTGTTTAGGTTTGCCAGGGTTAAGGGTTAGCCAATAAGCGGGACAGGAAGGGAAAGACAGACAGGAATGGGAGATGACAGAGACTTGGTGGCAGGAGAGGTTACAGATGGGAGTGGGGAACACCCTCATTAGTGATTTGAAGATGGGAATGGGAGGTTTTGGTAGGAGAATTGTGCCATTTGGAATGGGGGTTTTATAGTGTGACAGCACCAATCAACTCTATCATGATAGAGTTGATTGGTGCTGTCATACTGTAAAACAAATGCTCCACGTACTTGAAGGCCATTTTTAAAAGCAGTCACGATGGTGACTCAGACCTTAAGTCTGTTTATGTGGTGAATTGCATTTATTGATTTCTATATGTTGAATCAACCTTGCATCTCTGGGATGAACCCCACTTTATCATGGTACACTATCTTTTTAATGTGTATATGTGATTTGCTAGTATTTTATTAAGAATTTTTACATCTATGTTCATAAAGGATATTGGTTTGAAGTTTTCTTAATATGTCTTTGTCTAGTTTTGATATCAGGGTGATATTAGCTTCATATAATGAATTTGGAAGAGTTCCCTCCTTTTCTATTTTCGTGGAATAATTTGAGGCGGATTGGTATTAGCTTTTTTTTTTTTTTAAGGGTCTGGTGGAACTTGACTAAGAATTCATCCATCCTTGGGTTTTTCTTTCTTTTTTTAAAAAAATTTCTTTTTTTTTTCTTTCTTTCTTTCTTTTTTTGTGTATAACACAATACCTTTATTTTACTTATTTATTTTTTTATGTGGTGCTGAGGATCAAACCCAGTGCCTCACACATGCAGGTCAAGCGCTCTACCACTGAGCCATGATCCCAGCCCTGGTCCTGGGCTTTTCTTTGTTGGTAGGCTTTTGCTGATGTCTTCAATTTCATTACTTAAAATTGATCTGTTTAAATTTTCTGTATCTTCCTGATTCAATTTGGTTAGGTTGACTCTAGAAATTTGTTGATGTCTTCAAGATTTTCTAATTTATTTGGATTATAAATTTTCAAAATAGTTTGGTTATCCTGTGTATTTCAATATTGTCTGTGATGATATTTGCTTTTTCTTATGAATTTTAATAATTTGAGTTTTTCCCCCTCTTTCTTTTGGTTAGTTTGGCTAGAGTTTATCAGTTTTGTTTATTTTTTCAAAGAAACAACTTTGTTTTGTTGATTTTTAAAAAAAAAATTTTTTTTAAAGATTTCAATTCAATTAATTTTGTCTCTGATTTTGATTAATTTCCTGTCTTCTACTGATTTTGGTGTTGATTTGTACTTCTTTTTGTAGGGCCTTGAGATGTAAGAAATACAGAAAAGAGCTGGGTGTGGTGGTGTATGTGCCTTGAATTCTAGGTGCTTAGGAGGCTGAGGCAGGAGATTGCATGTTATAGACCATCTTGGGCAACTTGCTGAGACCCTGTCTCAAAATTTAAAAGAATAAAAAGAACTGGGGATGGAACTCAGTAATAGAGTACCCCTGGGTATCACACACACAAAAAAGAAAGAAAATACAGAAAAGAATAAGCAGCAGTAGAAACTACCCATAATCTTACCAACCAAAAATGTTAAAGTATTTCTAAGTCTGTTTTACACTGTTTGCTATTTTATAGCCTGTTTTTTCTGCTTAAGATGTTGTGTAATTTTCCCATATCAGCCTATACCATGTGTGCATGCATGTGCTCATGTGTCTGGGGTATACTTACAGTTCTCGTTTGCTTTTCTGAATGAGTTATATAAACACTTATTTAGCTTTTTGAAGTGACATCTTTTTTGTGTATCCTTCCAGACTTCTGCTTACACACAGTAAAATTTTTTTCATTTTTTTAAAGTGACCTTGCGTCTTGGAGAGTGTTCCATATCAGGGCACCCATCCATCTGTCCGTGCACCCATCCATCTGTCCATGCATCCATTACTAGTGAAGTTGAGTATTTTTGGTGTATGAATATGCCTGCCTGATTGTATTTCTTCTTTTGTTAATTGCTTGTTCCTGACCCTTTTGTATTTTTTCTGGAGGTGTGAGGTAGGCTGGTTTTAATGTTTTAAATACATGACAGCAGAATGCATCACAATTCTTATTACACATATAGAACAATTTTTTATACCTCTGTTTGTATATAAAATATGTACACATCAATTCATGTCTTCATAATATTACTTTTAATTTTGTTTATGCTTTAGAGTTACAGGGCCTCATATATTAGTAAGCCATACCACTGAGCTGTACTCCTAGCCCATTTCCTGAGCTTTCTGGTCTTTTCTATTGACTTATTTATCTCCCCATTATATTTCATTGATTGCAGGTCATATTCCCTATTTTAGCATCCTTAAGTTTGGAATGCATCTTAACATCAGCTGTTGACTGTAAGTTGGTTTCTGAGAGGGCATGTATTGTTCTCTGCCAGCCACTGGGGGTCACTACCCACCTGGTCTACTTAAGCTGATTTCTCTACTTGAGATGTTCTTGGTCCATGCTGGTAGTGTCAACTCAGACCTCAGAATCTGCAGGTGGAGGGAACAACGGTACCATTCAGTGTACAGGGAATTTTCCCCCCTCTTCCCATGTCAGATAAGAGGTGTGAGGGGTTTTTGCCATCCCTTTTGCTTGGATGATTTTTCTTTTTATGTCTAACTAATCAGGGTTGTGGCCATTCGGTATCCCTACTTGTTTGAAGGTCTCTTGACTCCTTTGAGACTCTCTTTCCTGGGCATCTTTCATTTTGTGCATAAAACAATGGCATGCTCTATGGTGTGTTAATAATGGTGATTTTTTACTTTTGAATGTCTGGCAATACAAGTTCTCAGTATACCACAGTCTTGACTCTCTCTACCCTCTCAAAACAAACAAAACCCAAAAACAATACTCCTGGATTTTGGAAACCTCAGTCAGAACCTTTTATCTCACATAAGATTTGTTTACTCTAGTGGCTTTATTTCCATATGTATTTGCTTATAAAATTTAGGCTAGAATCTAAGTTTTTAATACTAAACTGATAAAATAATTGAAAATATTATGCTTGATTCATTCAGAGACCAGTTAAGCTAAATAATATTTTCACGTTTATTTCCTTTTATTGCTTTTTTAAAAAGCCTTAAATTAACCTGATAATTAACTTAAGATTTTGTCTTTCACTTTCCATACTTGCTTTGTTACAAAGATTCCTCTTGCTGAAATAACTTTGTGCCCTCCCAAGCCTTCGGATGGCACATCTGAGGCCGTGCGCTCCCAGCTGTGTTATTTGGAGGCCGTCTGCAGTGTTTGCTCAGGAAGGTTGAGCATGAACCTGTATGTTCTTTCACTTCAGGAAGGAGCGGCAGTGCATTATATTCTTACTGTAAATTTGTGACATTTACCAAGTTTTCTTTTTAAAACTTTCTTCTCTTCACAGAAAGTCCCAGGGAAAATCACCTTGCTGAAAGAACTCTCCATGGATGTTCCCAAGTCTGCTCCTGTGATGGAAGATTGAAAAGCGATGCGTCGACAGTTGTTCACACATGACTCTCAGGTGTGGGCTTCATTCAGAAGGCAACACATGGAGCGAAAAGGAAATGAAAAAATCTACTGCATTTGGACAGTATGGATGAGAAAATGTAATTATAAAAATAATGCAATGAAAAATTCCTCAGATTTGTTTAGTTGTATAGTTGTCCAAGTTAAGTATGAGTTAAATGAAGAAATATTTGTAGCATGCAAATGGTTATTTCTGTTTCTGAAAAACCATCATCAATGGGCTATTAAACTTACATTTTTCTTTTTATTAGTGCAGTATGTTCCTTTTATTCAGGTATGGACTTCTTGAGAAACTCTGGTAACATGATTTTCAGGAAAGATGTCATACTTTCAATGTGAAGCATGGTTCTGAGCTGCTGGGATGCAGGGTCCTTTCTGAGGAAGTGGCCAAGGTCACTTGCAGCCCACGCTGGGTCTACGGTGTTGTGGAGCCTTCACACCACCGGAAGCCTAGTTATGAAATGCTTTGACTTTCCAGAAGTTCTGTGATGGACTCTCTGGGAGTGTCCACCTACACAAGGAGGAGGGAGCACATGTCAGGTTTCATTTGGTCATCAGACGAAGCTGGCAGTTGCCTCATTGCTGAAGTTCTACTTAATGTGAGAACCAAAGTAGAGGTTTTTGTTTTCTGGTTTATTAATTTCCCTTATACCAAAGTCTTTGAAAGTATGAAATGTACTGCTTCTAGGCTGTAAAGCTACTTCATGAAAAGACTGCTCTGTGGTATTTCACTTTGTTTTACCATAAATTCAAATTATCTAAATATTTTCCTAATCCTACACAGAAATGCTGATTTTCTTCTTTTGTTATGTAGTGGAAACATTTTACATTGTTTACATAGTTCTCATGGAACATGGAATTTTTTGAAAGCTATATATGATACACATTTTTGTGTATATATATTCTAATTGGTGTGAATAAAACAGTAACATCAGTGATTTTTTTAAGCAGCAAACTTCTGTATTCTCATGTCTTCCTTTAATAGTATTCCTTTGAGCTAGGCGTGCTGGCACATGCTTGTAATCCCAACAACTTGGGAGGCTGAGGCAGCAGAATCACAAGTTTAAGGCCAGCCTGGACAACTTAATGAGACCCTGTTTTAAAATAAAATAAAAAGGGCTGGGGGATGTGGCTCAATGATACAGCACCCCTAGGTTCAGTCCCCAGTACTGGGGAAGAAGGAAAATCCTGTGAGTTCAGTGTTATTCCCTTTCTATTGTGAGTAGCTGCTTTGTAGCTAATACAGGACTTTATAATTTGCTACTAATAGTAGAATAAGAACTGTAAAATTTTGGAGCTGCAGTTGACCCTGGATGGCCTGTATTCCAACCGCCTCAATTTTCTAGCTGAGGAACAACACTAAATGCCTTTTCTAGACTGATACATGGCAGATCTGGGCTGGAACACAGATTTATTGACTCCCTTACGGCCTTCGTTTCTCCACACCAGGACAAATTGCTTTTCACTTAATTTTCACTTAACTTCCCAGTACTGATGAAATAAAAAAAAATGAGGGTTATTTATATATATTTTAATAAAATCCTGTTTGATTTTTCAACTTACAGTGAGTTTTGTGTTTTGTTCTGCCTGTCTTCTGAGTGATGGGTTAAGAGAAGGGCCTTTGGGCCATTGTCCGTGGAAGAAATGTGTGCCAGGCCTGGATTCTTGCCATTTCATTTTAAACCTGAAGAAACATAAAATAGAATTTTTTGGACCTGGCCGATGACCTATTTTTCCATCACTATACAGTCTTTTTATAGTTCTCCTGAGGGCAGAGTCTGGAGCAAAGTCTTGGTCACTGTTGTCACCACCATGCGAGCACAGAGTCTTTCCACAGAGTGAGGGACTTCCCAGATATTTGTTGAATAAGGGAATTTTTAAAATCAAAACCATAATTTGACACTTTGAAAGAGACCCGAGAGGATCATCTAGATGGGTGGTTTGCAGGGTTTTGAAAAGCAGCAGGACTCTTTCATTGAAAACATTTTCAAATTCCAGTTTGTAGACAAGATGAGAGCACAGCTGACCAAACTGCCTCCTCTCCTCAGGAGCAGCTTGAGACCTTACCCAGCCCCTATTCTAGACTAATGCTCTTATCTTCCCTAGGTGGGGAAAATCAAGTCTTTAGTCATTCTGGAAGTGTTCATGTGCAGAGTTTGGAACAAAACTTTAAAAATGTTAGTATCTGAACTCAAAGGATAAGAGTCGTCTTACAACTGGCCAGAACCTCGAGCCTACTGAGTCATGCTAATGCTGTAGTACATGAGTGCATATGGCTTCCCAAGTCTGACAGTCACTTGTGTTTCTTGAATCCAAGCAGATAAGCATGTTTTCTCAGAACAGTATGATTAAAAGAAAAGGAAACAACACAAGCTATAGTTATTTTTGAGGTAAGTATGTTTCCTGAAAGGTGTGATTGACATGGACCCTTGGGAATGAGCATTAGAGTAGAGACCACTGTGCTGGGGGGATGCTCTGAGAGCTGAAATGGTAACCTGGTGTGACTATAAGAAGAACTGGAGGTCAGGCTTGTCCCAGACAAGCCAGGATGACTGGCCCTGGTGGTGTTCATGTTCTGTTGTTTCAGGCATCTGATTGGGAGGCATCTCACCACCTTGGTGCTGGGCCGCCGTGTATGCCAAGCACTTTTTTGGTGGGAACTCAGTTTTGCCACTCGGAGGAGGGTGAGTTGAACGGCAGACACTGGATGCTTTTCCTCCAAGTGTAGTTCTTATTACGTAGCAAGATGGCACTCTGAAAATAGGTTTGTTCCCAGGGCGAATTGGCAGTTTACGCTCTTCATGTGCCAAGGTGCCAACGCTGCTCCTGTTGTCAGCCATTGCCCTGGGGTGTGCAGGATGGATGGTCGGCTGACTTGTCTGTTGATGTTTCTGTGATATTTTGACCAGGTTATCGGTTTTGTCCTGGTATTTTATTTTTACAAATTGAGCTCACCAAAAACTCAAAAGCATAGTAAACCTCCAGTGTCTACCTGTCTTGGCTTGTGTCCAAGCTTTACCTCTCAGTTGTGAATCCTTGTGCATGATTTCTTCCCACTAACTTCTCAGCAAAGTGTGTTTTGGTTTCGTTTTGTTCTGGGTCAGTTTCCTCTACCCAGAAGTTCCTCAACCTCATGGGGGAGCTGTAAGGATTAAACAAAAGTAGGAGTAAGGCCCCTTTGTTGGTGAGCAGCACACAGTAGGCAATTGTGGCCTTAGCTGGTTAGTACTATGCTCAGCACACAGTAGGCACTCGTGGCCTTAACTGGTTAGTACTGTGTTCAGCACACAGTAGGCACTCGTGGCCTTAGCTGGTTAGTACTGTGTTCAGCACACAGTAGGCACTCATAGCCTTAGCTGGTTAGTACCATGCTATTGTTTTGCCACGAGTGCTCAGGTGCTGCGAAGACCAGGCCTTCAGTGGCAGATCACTACCACCCTCATCCTTCCTGGGTCATGCGGTGGCCAGGGTTCTGGCAGTGAGCACTGCCACAGAGAGAGAGCCTTCCTCTGCTCACAGAGCTGTCTGAGGAGCGGCAGAGCCTGGAGATCTGCAGGAGTGCAGGGTGTGCAAGGCTGGAGAGGTGCAGCCATTAGAAGGGCGGGTGGCATGGCGTGTGTTGGCATGGGTGGACGTGAGGGATGGTGATAATTATTTGCCTGTCTTTATCTGGGCTCTTGCAAAATGCCTTTGGATAATGTCAGTGTGCCCCAATTTGACTCATTTGGAATAAGGATCAAAGGATGAAGAAAATGCTTATTTTTCTTCTTTATGCTTCAGACCAAGTGAAATGAGCTTGGGCAGTCCACATGTGTACCACTAGGGTAAATATGAAACGATCACAGCGATTTTCCATATAGGACATTTTGTAGGGCAACATATAAAACAGATCAGGGGTTAGCAAGAAAATCCATAAAATAGTGGTCAAAATGCCGCATATTAGTCAGTGGTAAGCTGCAGCTAAGGTTCAAGGATATGGAATTGGTGTACTTGGAATGGCCCACTGTGTTCTTTCATTTCTTATATTAAAGTGTGACTGTGTGTGTGTGTGTGTGTATGTGTGTGTGTAACCCAGAGCCTCACATGTGCTAGGCAAGAAATCTGCTACTGAGCCACCCCCAATCCCTTGAAGAATACTTATTTCTAAGACCTTATTAAGGGATGTGTACATACACTCAGAAGCACAGGGTGGTAATGAATCCCCATGTGCGGCTCTCCCAGCTTTGGTGGTGGTGTCTGGTACCTAAAAAGGTGAGTCCAGTGGCCAGGTGAAGGTGCACCTGTGGAAAGACACGAGTTGGGAGGCATCACTCACGGGAGCAACTGAAGAAATGAAGTTCCGTATGAAGTGCAGCAAGAGCTGTAAGAAGAATGTCAGGTGTACTTTTCATTAAACGATTTCAAAAGCATTTCCAGTGGTGCTTTCTCGTTGGCGGCCATGTGATGGCATTCACTCCTGTTGAAAGGAGCTCTGGAAGGTGTTTGTGCCTCTCGAAACTGACGCCCAGCTCGTTCTCCCAGGCCTCTGCTTCTCTCCAGCATCGACTGGCCAGTCAGAAGTTGCTCAGCCATTCTGAAGAACACTTCTGACTCTGAGCAGTGTCAGGTGGATGAGGCTGCTGCTGTTCTGAGTGCTGCTCTCTGGAACAGAGCTGGGGAGGGTTTGTTGGGTGCCCACTGTTTCAGGCCCTGCAAGCCCAAGCTTCTTCCTGTAATGGTGACAGAAGCCCAGCTGAGGTAGGTAGCATCTGCCCTGTTTACAGATGAGAGGACTGAGGCTCAGAGTAGGCAGACTAGCTGTCCTGCTCAGGGCTTCACAGTCATTGCAGGGGAGAATCAACTGAGCTTACATCAAAAAAAAAAAAAAAAAAAAAAAAGAGAATAAAGGGAAGTCTCTGCTAAAAAGATGCCTTTTCAAATACTTGCAAATTGCCTGCCTCTCTTTTGCAAACACCTAGGCAGTGAATTTTTTTTTTTTTTTTTTTGTACAAGCAAACGTTTCAAAGGATACCTTTGAAAGAAGAGGTTAGGAGTTGGGGACTATAATTTGCTGTGTTGCCTCAAGTAGTTTTTTTTTTTTTAATGGGATAAAAATGAAGGTTTTCAAATATGATTTTAAACAGGACCCAGGACTGGGGTGTAGCTTAGTGGTAGACTGCCTAGCATGGTCCAGGCCCTCAGCCTCCCGAGTTGATGGGAATACAGGCATGTGCCACCATGCCTAGCAAATTGTTCTATTCTTTTTTTTTTTTTTAGTTTCGATGGACTTTTTAATTTTTTTTATTTGTATATAGTGCTGAGAATCGAACCCAGTGCCTTACACATGCTAGGCAAGTGCTCTTCCACTGAGCTACAACCCCAGCCCAGTTGTTCTATTCTTAAAGAGCATAGAAAGTGTCCCTAGCCTGTGTCCCCATCCCTAGCTGCTTTGTGGTCCCTGTTGAGGGTTGGTTCTCTATTCTCACGTCCATTGCTCTGCTTGCTGAGCCTGGGTAGCTGGGCTTCCTCTGGCTCCATCCATCCTGACACCTCTGCTTCCTAGCTTATCCTGGGAGGCCTGTCCTAGCTCCCCATACCACGGGAGGGGACGAGCTGATGTCCTTGGCCCAGAATTTCCATCCTCGCTGCCTGTTCCCCAGCCTCTCCCCTGGCCTTGCTTTCTGCTCCCTCTGCAGAAACTGAGCCCAGTTATTCATTCATGTCCTTCGAGGAACAGCCAGAGTCAGAAAAGGACAATGAGGACCCTTTCCTCTCTCCTCCCTGGCACCTGCAGCTCAGTGCTCCTGCACCCCCTTCCCCAACCAGGACGGGAACCGTAGCATGGAAGCGTCTAGTCACAGTCGCACCTTGGCCCTTGTGAATTGTAAGCTGGAGTATGAATAACGCCTTCACCCCCGCTCTCCAGTGCTTGTGCAATGCCCTGTTGGCTGTGGTTGCTGAGGAAAGAAGCT